TTAACTCGTTCGCTACCAGCGCTTGAGAAACAAATCTTTAACCACAGCCCATTGAATTTTTTATAATAGAACTTTGAATGGCAATGATTTTAAAACCAACGCATATTTGTAAAAATAATTATATAAGAAATTTGAAAAAATCTAATCGATAAATAAATGTAAAATCTTAAACGACGAGTATTTGCATTTATGTAAAAACAAAAACGACGCATTTTTGATCAAATGTGAATACAAAAACCAAGCATATTCGATCTAATGTAAAAACAAAAACGACGCATTTTTGATCAAATGTGAATACAAAAACCAAGCATATTCGATCTAATGTAAAAACAAAAACGACGCAAATTCGATCAAATGTGAATACTAAAACCAAGCATATTTGCTTAAATGTAAATACAAAAACGACGCATATTTGCGTCGTCGGGCTCAAAATAAAGAACTAAAACGACGCACATATGCGTCGCTGGTAGCGAGCCTGTTAATTTCTTCTCTCTCTCTCTCTCTCTCTCTCTCTCTCTCTCTCTCTTCAATTTCGTGATTTATATCCCTCATCATCACCATCATTTGATTGTTATTGCCATTTAGGCCAACACCAACACAGAATTTCTTTTTCTTCTTTTTTTTTGGTTTAATTTATTCTGCACGCAATAACTGACGGAATCAAAAAAAGAAAAAAAAATCGATTGTGTAAATCATCATATGCGAATGTTGTTAAAGAAAAATATTGCATGAAAATTCTAACAATGTTTGTTTTTTTTCTCGGTTATTATTGGCGGGTTATTCTGTCTGTTGATCAGGGTGATATAAATTAAAATTTTTTTTTCAATCCATAAATTTTTCTTGACAACGACGACGACGATCATAAATAATAATTAATGCAATTTGATCATCGAGAATGATTGAATGATTGAAAGTTTGTTTGAAATATCAATGTTACAACAACAACAACAACGAAGGAAAAAAAAACCAATCGGGCAATTTATTGGTAATAAAAATCTCACTTGTGTTTTGATTAGTTGTCGGAATTGATTTTTTTATTGTTATTTTTCATACATACACACACAGGCAAACAGAATTTCAGAATTAGAAAAATTCATCATTGCCGGTTATGGGTCCTTCAAGCTGTCCCTGTTGATGATGATGTGGAATTTTACACATCAATCGACATTATTGGATTCTTTTTTCGCTTGTTGTTGTTGTTGTTGTGAACACAAACACTTAATCGGTTTGCTTCTCTCAGAAAAATCAATTCGAATCGATTGATTTTTTTGCAGGCTTAAAATCCGAACCAAAACCAAATAAAATTCATTCATTCATTATGCATGTTTGTTGTTGTAAAGTGATGCTTTTCTGTAAAAGTAATTCCATTTAGAATCCGATTCTGTTTGATTTTTGATTTTGAATTTTGACCACCGAATTTTATTCCCTGACAAAAAAAAACATTAATTTTTTTCTTGTTTTTTGTTTTTACTCTAGCTGATCATATATTTGATTGACAGAATATTCTTGATTTGAACCATTCTAAATGATGATCAAACAGAATTTTTTATACGATTCTGAATATCGATTTTCATTCAACCAATTCACAACTACCGTCAACAACAACAGCAAAAATGTCTTTACCATTATCAAATCTATCATCATCACATCAACAACTTTTAAATCTTTTAAGACATTTTATTGTAACATCGAATCAACAACAACAAAAACAACCATCATCATCATCGCCATCATCGTTGACAACAATATTTATGAATATGACCAATACATCATCAATATTAAAATCATTATATCCAGATTTAATGAATCTGACTGATGATCAATTATTGTTACGTCTTGGTAGAACATCATCATCATTCATTCATAATCAATCATCATCATCATTTGATAATGATTTTAATCTATTTAATCATGCTTTAAATGGTGGTAGTGTTAATTATTCTGGACCATCAACATCAACATTTGATGAACAATTTTTCGGTTATAATAATAATGATGATAATGATGATGATGATTTACAAGAAGAAATACCATTAAGTTTATGGATAAAAATATTATTCTATATTGTTTATTTAATAATTTGTTTATTGGGTATTTGGGGTAATCTAATTGTTTGTTATATTGTTGCAAGAAAATCAACAATGCATACAGTAACAAATGTTTTTATTGCAAATTTAGCATTATCTGATATATTATTATGTTTATTTGCTGTACCATTTACACCATTATATTTAATTACATTTAAAAATTGGATATTTGGTCGTGCACTTTGTCATTTAGTACCATTTGCTCAAGGTAATTATAATCTCAATAGTCATAGTCAATGTTTTGTTTTTTTTAATTAAATGTTTTCGGTTCGGTTTTTCCCACTTTTCATCTATTTTTTTAAATTAGGAGTATCTGTTTATATATCTGCATTTACATTAATGTCAATAGCAATTGATAGATATTTTGTTATATTACATCCATTTAAACCAAGAATGTTAATGAAAATATGTATATTAATTATAATTGCTATTTGGATGTCAGCCATTATATTAACATTTCCATATGCACATTTTATGGATTATGTTGAAACAAAACCCGAACGATTATTATCAACAACAATAAATGAAGAATTATTAGAATTAAATGATAATGGTGAAATTGTTGCTGTAGATGCTACAGGTGATAATAATAATGATAATGATGATGATGATGATATTGGTATAATTTATCTTTGTGCTGAACAATGGCCACATGAAGAATTAAGTAAAATGTTTGGTATAACAACAACAGCATTACAATTTGTCATTCCATTTATAATAATAACATTTTGTTATGTAAAAATTTGTGCAAAATTATCGGATCGTGCACGTACAATACCGGGTAATGTTTCAGCAAGACGTGAAGAACAAGAACGTGAACGTACACGTAAAACTAATGGTATGCTTATATCTATGGTCATTATATTTGTTATATCATGGTTACCATTAAATATGGTTAATTTGTTGGCTGATTTTTATGAAGAAGCAAGCCATTGGCGTAATCAACGTGCTATATTTTTAATATCACATGCAATTGCAATGTCATCCACATGTTATAATCCATTTTTATATGCATGGTTGAATGAAAATTTTCGTAAAGAATTTAAAGAAGTATTACCTTGTTTTGTACGTCGTACGAAAAAAAATCATTCATCCGCTATTGGTATTGGCGGTGGTGGTGGTGGTGGTGATACGGGAGCTGGTGGTACTGAAGCTGGAGCTGGTGGCGGTACATTGGTTGAATTACGACAAAATAATCCGATAACCAACCTTAACAACAACAACAACAGTAACGAAAATCAAACTGATAAATTTGATAATTGTCAAACGGTAATGCTTGCAATGAATGAACATACTAATCATTCAAATCTTCATCCAAATCAAAATAAATCAAATAAAAAATTTATGAAAATTTGTTCAAAAAATGGTTCAATTAAACATTGTAGAATATCTATTAATAATCAACAGAATAATAATAATAATAATAATAATCATCCACAAACAACAACAACAACAACGAATAATTATAATTCAAATTTAAATAACGATAACGATAACGATAACGATGATGATGAAGCGAGGCAGGTATCTATTATTTTATTTTATTTTTTTTTCTGAATTGAAAAGAAACTTTTTTTAAAAATGTTTTTTTTTCCGTATCAAATTAATGAATGTTTTTTTCTCTTTTCTCTTTCCCTTTTCATCAATTTCTTAATAGACTTTGATAACAAAAAATGGAAAACGTTTACGTTATGATTCGGGTTTTGGTAGCGAATCAATTAGTGCCATACAGAATAGTAGTATCGGTGGTGGAGGTGGAAGTTCCAGTGTTACGCATTTAACCATCATTTCGGATATTTGATAATTGGAGTTAAACAAAACATCATCCGCCAAACGAAAAACATAACAAAACAAAACTGAAAAAAAAACATTGTATTTATTTGTATTTGATAAACAGATTTTCTTGAATATTTTTCTATAATTTGAATTTGTTCGTTTGTTTGTGTCTGTATTTTTCTTTGTTAAATCTGATTTTGTATTATATGAAGAAAATAAAAGAATGTTTTGATTTTTGTTTTTTTTGTTGAAATAAAGATGTTACCATAAAAAAAACAAAAATCCAAATCGACCAAACCGATTTCGAAACATATTATTGATGTTCTCGAACTTTAGAACTTTTTTTTTCATCTTCCAAAAAAATAAATGGCATATAAACCACCATGCATGGTGTTCTTTTTCGACATTGTTTTTCGTGATTGCAATTTTTTTCCAAATGAAAAAAAAAATCAGTGCTTATTATCGAAAATGCAAGCAACAAGCCAAACAAAAACCAACACCAACATCTGCGAACAATTGCGTTTTTTGATGCTCTACTGGTTCCGTATTCAAGACAGTGATGCGATGAGAGCAGCTTCAGAAATCAACAAAGCTTGGATCCCCAATATTGTGACATGATTCAAATGATTTCGAAAAAGCTGAACCAAGATCTGGGCTCTTTCTCAAGAGGTTGGTTGATAACAAGTTGGACGAAAATTCGCGATTGACAACTGAAGAATTGGAAATTTAAATGTTTCAAAATCGACAATTTTCGAACAAATTTTTTCATTCGCTTGGCAAAAAAGAAACAAACAATTATTATTTTGTATTATATAAATAAAAGAATGTTTTGATTTTTTTTTGTTTTGTTTTGTTTTTTTGTTGAAATAAGATTTTTTTTATTAAATACTCATTTCGAAAACAAAATAAACCATTTCCAACAACAGATGGCGATACCTGAATCAATTTAATTTGTTTTTTTGTTTCATTTAATAGCTTTGAGACCGGTGCTGTCATCTAGGATTGATTAAATATAAAAAAACAAAATCTTGGCAAAATATTGTTTTTCGATGATATTCAAAAAATTGATTTCCTTTTGTCGGATATTTTTTTTCATAACTTTTTTTTGCAAATCTTTCGATCATCAATCGCAATTATTGTTCGATTTTTGCCAGAGAATTGGACCAAAAATAGACCAATAAATTGTAATGACGAATTCAAAAATAAAAAAAATGTCGCCGAAGGCATTTGGAGAAAAATATGAAAATTCATCATCGAAACGTGATCCATTTATTCAGAAAAAAAAGAAAAACCACGATTACGATATGAAAACAACTGCATTGGCTCTCCTGGAACTGAACAAATTAAGCTTATTTTGAGTGAATTAAATGTATAATTTACTCTTTGCGTGATTCAAATCACAATTCAAGAAACCTGTTTTTCCGAAATTTTCTTTTATTCATATATTCGTTTTCGGCGTTGTGTCTTCATCAACATTATTATCTTCATCGTCATCATTGTCGTCGTCGTCGTCGTTCAAAGAAAATAAACAATCCATCTGCTGCTGCTGCTATCTTTGAATTTTCATTGAGTTTTTGTTTTGTTTTGTTCAGATGTTGTGTTTCAAAACACAAAAAAAAAAGTTTTTTTTATTCAAAGAAACTCACGGTCAAGCAACGAATAAAGTTTGTCATTTTCAAATTGTTTTTCTAATACTATACATTTAGTCGTGTCATAAATGATCGTCATTACACACACACACACATATAATCAGCATCAATGCTAACACTTTACTTTCTTTTTTTTGCCATCGTTTATTTAGATTGATCGATTGATTGATCAAATAAAGCAACCACTATCATCGATCATTCGTGTTCAATTTCTTCTAATTTCGTCATTAACAACATTTGGTCTCAGAAAAATCATGAAATCATTTTTGATAAAATAATTGATTGAAAAAACGAAAATCGCATAAACTGCCTTCAACGACAATGATGATGTTTAATTGTTTAATATTTTTACTATTGCTTTCAGGTAAATATCGATTGATTGATTGATTGATTGATTGGTTTATTGTTCATTTCATTTCAGGTTTAATCATTGTTGATTGTTTCCTGTTATATGCACCAATTGATTCGGGTGGTATACGTGGCAATGTAACATTTTCACAACAAGATGATTCTTCTACCGATGTTCATATTAGTGTTTATCTTTATTCACCATCCGGTCACCATGAAACACAACAATTTGATTGGGCAATACATGAATTTCCAGCATTTTTTGATCTAAAAAATCCTTGTCAAGCAACTGAACTTGGTAAATCATTATATGATTTATCACGTCATGGACGTATTACTATACCGAATTCCGGTAGTCAAACATTATCGTTTATTGATAAAAATCTTCGACTTAAAGGTCCACAAACCATATGGGGCCGTTCAATTTATCTTAAATCAACCAATACAAGTGTCCGAGCTTGTTCGAATATAATGACTACGAATAAAATCAAAACAGCTATTGCAACGTTTACAGAAAATGTAGCCGGAACGATTTTGTTTCGTGAAAATGAACAACAAGAAACGATAATTTTTTCCAATCTTTATTATAATATTGATGAATATCGATCTGGATCACGTAATGATTGGAAAATTATGGTCACCGATATATTGGATAGTAATGATCATACAAAATGTAATCAGCTGCAAATATTACTTGATCCAGATAATACACCGGATTCTTTGTGTTCAACCGATGATCAACGTAATTGTAAAATTGGTGATTTATCTGCTAAACATGGACAAATAGTTGTTGGTAATAATAATAATCGTTATTCGAAAAAATTTTTTATTGATATGCATTTACCATTGGATTATCTGGAAAGTAGTCGAAATTTATTTGTTATAATTTATTGGAAAAATCAGAATAATAAAATTATGACCTGTGCAAAAATAACACCATTACAATCGAAAGAAGTACGTGCACATTTTGATTCGGATGGTGTTAAAGGTGATATAATGTTAAAACAAAATTATAAAATTGATCCAACTATTATGACAATAAAATTGGATAATTTACGTGGTCGTGGCCGATATTATTATATTCATCAATTTCCTATTGTACAGAAACAGACAAAAAATGATGATCTTTGTGGACAGGTTGGTGATCGATATAATCCATTCAATATTGATTCATCACAAAATCTAACAACAACAACGATTCAAGATACAAATGATCAATATGAAGTTGGTGATTTAAGTGGTAAACATGGAACATTAAGTCAAATTCAAGATATACAAACATATTTTAATAGTCATATTGATTTTAATCTACCATTATTCGGTGTACATAGTGTTGTTGGAAGATCGATTGTCATACATAAATCAGATGGCCAACGATGGATCTGTGCAAATATTGCCTATCCAGGTCAAACAATAATAGCTAAAGCAACATTTTATTATCCAATTGTTGGTTCGATTATATTTCGTCAACAAATTGATGAACCATTAACCGAAACAACTGTTTTGGGTGAATTATTTTATGCTGACGGAAATCAAAATATAACAAGAAATCATCCATGGCGTATACATGTCAATAATATTGGTATAGATTTTTATAATTGGACAAAACGTTGTATGAGTAGTGGTGAAAATTATAATCCATTTTCGATTCAAACCGGTCGTTCATATCAATCACAATGTTCATTGGAAAATCAACTACGTTGTCAAGTGGGCGATTTATTTCTTAAATCAAAAAAAATTGACATCAATCATTATTTATCAAATGAACGAACAGCATTTTTCTATACCGACACTCTTTTACCATTGTCAGGAAAGGTGATTTATTTCAAATTTGACAACAAAAAAAATCAATTCAATCTGATTGATCTGATCATTTTTTTTTCTCTAAAAAACATTATTTTTTTCTTAAAAAAAAAATATAGTACTCAATTTTGTCCAGGTCGATTGTGATTGAAGATGAAAATGCACCACAAATACGAGGTAAACGAATGGCTTGTGCAACAATACGTCGATCACATCCAATCACTGCTGTTGTCAATGAATGGAGATCAAGTGCTGGCATTTCGGCAAACATTACCGGTTATATTGAAATGCATCAACAAAGTATATTTGATGAGACAAAAATTAAAATTAACCTTCGTGGATTAAATAAACTTGCTAGTGGCTATCATGTTCATAAGGTATATTTGGATATTTTTTTTTCTTTTTATCGCTCAAAGTGACCGTTCTCTCTTTTTCTTTTGTCAGGCATCTGTTCCTATCGACAAAGAATTTCCTTGTTCCGGTGATGTTTTATATGGCCATTATAATCCATTTGAAATTGATTCACAAATTGGACCACTTCCATCGATCGGATCCGTTGATGAATATGAAACGGGTGATTTAAGCGGAAAATTTGGCCTACTAAATAATTTGGCCAATTTTGCCAATGAATACAATGATTTTAGTCTACCATTAAAAGGTATTAACAGTGTTATTGGCCGTTCGATTGTTATTCATCGTGAAGAAAATAATTTCCGTTGGTCATGTGCAACAATTCAGCCAAAAGTATTGAAAAATGAACGTGAAATTATAGCAATTGCTTCATTCGATGATATCAGAAATTTGATTCAAGGTTATGTACGATTTAAACAGATTGAATATCGTGATGGTAGTATGAGTGATACTTGGATTGAAACATATCTTTCGTATCGTGGAAGTAATAAAAAAATAACTTATGGTCATAAATGGTCTGTATATGTAAATCAAGTCGGTGCCGATGCATACAATCAAATCGATAGTGTTCGATGTTTGGCTGGTGGATTTTTATGGAATCCATATCTAACAAATATGGATAAATCCTATAGACATGAATGTAATCCAAAACATCCATTACGTTGTGCATTGGGCGATATAAGTGGCCGTCATGAACCATTAGTAATTGGTGGTGATCGTCGTGTTTATTCAGATATTAATCTACCATTAGCTGGAAATAATTCAATCATCAACAGAGCTTTAGTCATAACGATGCAAAATCAAAGTGATACAGCATTAGCATGTACAAATATCAAGTTGGATAAACATTTATTATCCACTATTGTTGTACAAAAAGTACCGGCATTTACTGTAGCTAAATTTATGCATCATATGCGTTTAAAATTGAATGCATCGGAATGGTTGATCGTACCGGAAATTCAAAAATCCAAAGAAATTAATAATGATGAATGTATACAGATAATGGTACATTTTTATGGTAATTTATTCATTCAAATTTATTTTTATTCACCATTTCAATATTAACTTCTGTTTTTTTTATAAAATCGTAGGCGATGAAGCATGGAAATTACAATCTGAATTTAATAATTTAATCGAATATGGATCAATCAGACGTACAAATAATGGTGAATTGATTAAAACTTATTATAAATCTTGTAAAACAGGTTAGTTGATCGATCAAATCGATTGATTCAATCCAATGATTAATTTTTTGTTTGGTTTTTGCTCCCATTTTACAGCATTATTACAACATTCATCATCATCGGCTGCAGCAATCAAAGTTTCGATTCAATTATGGTTACCGACAACATTGATCTTAGCCGTCGTTGTTTTCCTATTTTAACTGTGATAATCTTTCCTTTTTTTTAATATTTAATTTATGGCATATACTGCCGGCAATGTTCAGAAAAGAAAATGAAATTCTTGTTTTTATTCAATTCTGTAAATAACTAAATGTATAATAATAAATTGTTAGAATTTTCTTCTTTTTTCACAATAATAATTATTGAACAATTTCATTGATGAATTATAAAAATTACAAATTACAAAAGATCATTATTAGATAAATAAAATAATCATTGACTTTTGACAACACCGACCATTGCCGGACGTATAGTTCTATCATGAAGTTTGAAACCAATTTTTGTAACCTGTGAAACTGTACCCGGTTCTTTACTGGTATCATCCACTTGAAACAATGCATGATGTTCATTTGGATCGAATTTTGAACCCAATGGATTAATCTGACAAAGACCATGTCGTTGAAAAACGTTCATCAATTTTTGTTCAGTCATTTTAACACCATCATAAAGATTTTTTAAATCATTGTTTGATTTTAAGGTTTCTTCAGATACCGAATCAATGGCTGCTTTGAATATATCTGAAACTTCCAATAAATCTTTACAAAAAGCTTGAATTGCATATATTTTTGCATCGTCCAATTGTTTTTTTGCTCTTAATCGAGTATTTTCTGCTTCGGCCAATGCACGTTTATATTTATCATCAAGATCTTTAACCGTTTCGAGTAGCGTTTTATTTTCTTTCATTAAATTTTCCACGTTCACCTGATCTTTGGTGCTTGAATTTGTTTCGTCAGATTGTTTGGTCATATCTTCGGTTACTTTACCATCGTTGTTGTTGTTGTTAACTTTGTTTGTAGAATTAACGGTCGAAAAACATCTGATTGATCTTTCATGTTGGCAAATGGAACGAAAAAGATTGGTTCCTAAAATACATTAAATGAAATGAAAATAACATAGAGTTAAAACAGTAAATCATACAATTCTTACTTATCACAGTTCTTAAACTGTTGGTCAACATCTTGATGGAATTACAAGAAAAATAACGTCTTTAATTTGAAAATTTTTTGTTTAAATCAAAAAAAAAACGATGTATCACATGCAATACTCATTTAAACACATGGCAAATTTTTTTTTCTTGGACACATTGTATATGAACGGATCTCAATGATGATCTTTATTCGCCCAAAAAAAAAAACATTCGATTTTCCGTTATCATTCGAAATTAACTGATGATAACTGGTTTTATTTCGTTTTAAAAAAAAATTTGAAAATTTTTATTTACAAAATAATTAAAAGAATGGTAAGAATTAAATGAATTGTATACAAAGAGGAATATATGAATTAATTTATAAAATGATGATTATTATTTTTTTTTTTTGTAATTATAGTTCGACTAGTGATGAACTCATGGTGTTCCTTCCTTTCATTTTCAAAAGCCATCATCATTATCATTATCATCGTCATGATCCGAAATATCATTATTATCGTTATCATTGTTTTTAATTTCCACCAATCCTTCTTGATAACCTTCAAGATGTTGTTTACGCCATTTAATTCGACGATTCTATATTCATTATACAATGATAATGTAATCATCAATTAAAATTTCGGATCAATGAAAAAAAAATTCATTAATTAACTGAATTACCTGAAACCAAACTTTAACTTGTGCTTCAGTCAGATTAAGTGTTGATGCTAGATAAAGTCGTCCAGTACCGACCATATATTGCTGTTTTTCAAATTCATTTTCTAAACGTTCCAATTGTTCGGGTGTAAATATTGTTCGTACACGTTTTGATTTATTCAATGTTACTACTGCTGATGTTGATGTGCCATTTTTTGATTTCATTGTTATTTTTTTGGTCAATCCATTCTTTTTACAATTTTTGACATTTTGTTTCAATGTTGTTGTTGTTATTGTTGTCCGTGGTTGTTCAATAATCATCGATTCATGTTTGACATCAACATTCATTGATTTCGTTTCGTTTGTCATTTCTATGGTGAAAACAAATTTAAAAAAAAACAGTGAAAACAATGAAAACAAACCATCAATCAAAGTTTTATTATCATTTTTTTCAATTATCCCGAACAATTTCGACATGATGACACACAGAATATGTTCCCAAAAATTTCAAATCATAAACGTTACAGAATCATGATATAGTTTTTTGTGCAAAGTATTTGACAATTGTCAAGGAAAATATTTAAAATATTTTCCCTGCCTGCCTGCATTCCATTCTTCATCTCTCTCTCTCTCTCTCCTCATTTAATAATGATATCATAGGTTTGTTTTTTGCTCTGAATATTCTCATTGCCTATTCATTCATTCATTCATTCAACAATAGATAGATAGTGAACGAATATTTGATAATCAAACAGCCTGATAAGCTGAAATCATCCATAAAAAAATAACATATATCCATTCAGGGCTTGTTTAACGATAATGATGAGCGAATAATAGCCATTTTGAACAACAACAACAGACAAAAAAAAATTTATAATTGGCTATCGTACATCTGCTGTTTATTCATTCGTATTAGCTAACATTTTTTAGAGTTTTCAACAACAACAACAAAAAAAGAGAATAAAAGCAAGCAATAAACGATGATAATGATGATGATGATATACCGTGAATAATTTCCTTTTTTTCAGAAAAAAATTTCAAAGATGTATTCATTCGGCTCGTTGATCATCATCATCATCATCATCATCAATGATAATCATGATGCAAAAGAGATAGTCAGTGAGTAAGTTTGGAATTTTTATTCCGCTAATTGTATTGAAATATAATTTCTTTTATCCTCAACAAAAAAAAAAAAGAAAATATTCAAAATACTGGAAAATCAATTGAACCATGGACAATCTGATTTTAATTTGATTTGATTTGAATATCGAAAAATCTCAACAACAAAAAAAATCTTTTATTCATCATTCAAAATAATAATAAAAAAAAAATTTCCAATTCAATTCATTATTGAACAACAATTGATTTCTCCCTTCTTTGTTGTTGTTGTTGTTTACTGCCATAATGATGATTATTAACAAGCACGTGGATAACAACAACAACAACAACAACAATCTCCTCATCTACGATCAATCGTTGTGAAAAATATTGAATCGATGATCAATCAATCAATTGGAAATCAGCAAAGAAATCCAATAAAAAAAAATCTAATCTCTCAACACCAACCGACCAATCAAACCTATGCTAATTGACATTCAAATTTTTGATTTTATTTGAAAATCAATATAATATAATGATCCAATGTAAAAAGTCATAAAAAAATCAGCAATTTTAATGATATGATTCACCGAATTACCGTTTGAAAATATCAAGCCAAAAAAGAAAACTTGTTTTAAAAAAATCGAAACTTACTTTTGATCGAATTTGAATAGAATGAATTTTGATGATGATTATCTTGACTGTCTTGATGAAGATGATGATGCTGATGTCCATTGATCAATTCATTTGGTTTTTGTTGCATCGAGGAAAGGATTGTTTGTCGTTTTTGTTGTTGTTGATTTCGATGATGATTACCATAAATAAAATCAACACCAACAGCATTATCAATCGATTTATTTGGATTGTTTTGATTATTGTTCTTATCGGTTGATTGAAAACCAAGAATCGAATCAATACTGAATGATTTTGTTTCCTGTAGATTTACATTTCCATTAGATTGATGGTGATGATGATTATAAGGATGATGATGATAAACTTGATTCAAACAAAAATTCAATGATTCATTCAATAATGGATACATTTGATTTTGTTCACCATCATTATGATGATGATGATTAAGAAAATTTTCATAAAAAATATTTAAATCCATTTTTGGTTTAAAGGTTTTCATCGAATGATGATGATGATTATCAATATCCAAATATAATGGACTATATGACAATGTTTTGGTTTTGGCTGAAAGTTTATTCATTATTGATGATGATAATTGTGGCATGATTTATTTTGAAATTCTTCTTGCTTGTTTGTTGAATGAATGAATGATCTCTTAATGAAAACAAAAAAAAAAGATAAAGTTGTCGAATCTTGTCTTGTCTTGTTGTTTACGAAAAAAATAATTTTAAACAAATGATATTATTTACGGCTAATGATTGGCAAATAAATACACACACACACCACCACCAAATATCATCATCATCATTATCAATGATCTGAGTCGTCGTTGCCGACAAACATTTACATTTCTGTATTATCTCTCTCTATCTCTCTATATGTGTTTCTATATTGTTTTTCGTATACGCCTTTATAATCAACCAAACATTCAATCAGACAAGACTTTTTTTTTCTCCAACAAACATAAAGTTCAAATAGGATGGCGGCGGAGCTAAATACTTTTTTCTTCATTCAACAAATATCACCCCAAATTTTCTATCTAATATCAGCTTTCGGCTTGTTTGTGTGTTATCAATTCAAAATCTTTTATATATGGTTATATATGTTTTGGCGACATTAGCTTATTAGGCTCTATAATGTAATAGTGCAATTGAATGGTAAGAATCTAAATGATGAAAAGGCAAGCTTAATATCATTGTCAATGATCGTTGTTTTTTCCCCTTGTCAAAACATCACATCATGACTATGGTATGTCATTTAGTTTAATTTGATTTTTGGAATTCTTTATCTATCTATCATCATCAATGAAAACAACAATTTCAAATTGAATTCAGAATACATTATGGTTCGTTTATTCTGTGGTATTGCAAAGGAATTTTTGTTTTTTGTTTCGCATCATATTTCTTATTCTTGTTATTCGATTCATTACACACACATGGCCCTTACATTGACAACCAAACAACCAACAGAATGAAAGAATTTCGATTCCTGATTCCTGCAAAAAAGAAATTAGATATTTTGATTTGTCTCAGGCCAAAAGCGAAATGACAAAAAAAAAACGAAAGAATCTCTCTATTTTTCCATCAAACAAAAACATTAATAATGAAATGTGAAAACCTTTTTTTTTCTTTTCTTTCTGGTTAATATGGTTTTCTTTGGTTGTACAATAATAATGATGATAATAACGAATAATGAATACAGTAGACCGAGTCCTTTTAATTAGGACCAATGATTAGCTCTAATGTCTTTGATGATGATAATGATAATGATGGTAATGATGGTTTATTGTCGTTGTTTGCTGCTGTTTGGTTCAATGTTTTTTTCTTCATTGATCTAATTATGGAATATTTTTTGTTCAAAATATACACGGAGAGAGAGAGAGAGAAAACATTCAATCAACACAAGATATGATCGATATATATGGCCATAAAAATCATTGAAGAAAAAAAAAATCATAAAAGCCGCCAATAAGTTTTCTTGTTTGTTGTTTGTTATGGTTCCCAAAAATAGTCAAAACACATACTACAATAAAACATTGATCATCATCATCATCGATATCCAAATTGCCCTTAGGATTTTTGTTTTTTATTTATTCGTTCATTGATCGATTGATCCATAAGCCAATTTGTGTATCGAATTGTTGTCTAAAAAACAAAACAAAAATTGCTGCCTACGCAAAAAAATTCGTTATTCATCGAATAAACGCAATTAACATTTTCATAAAAAGTAGCCATTCAAAAAAAAAATTCGTTTGAATATCATCATCATTGATGATGATAACCACCGTCATCATCATCATCAGGTCTGAGACATTCAGTAAGAAGAAGAAAAAGACAAAAGAAGAAAAATCTACCGACAATCAATGATGATGATGATGATGGACATTATCTTCTTCTTTGTTTTTTAAAGTTTATTAAATATTCTAATGACGACGAAGACCGACCAAAGACCGAATATTCTTTGTTTCTCTTCTTCTTCTTCTTCAATCGTTAATGCAATAAAGACATTAGTGTCTGTGACAAAGATTTTCTTTATTTTTTTTTCGTTTGAAAATTTCTTCTTTTTTTTATTATATCTGGCCCCCATAAAAACATAATTGTCGGCGACATTTAAAAAACCGAAATTCACACACAGAAGATGTAGGCAATGATGATGATGATGGGTAATAATATCTATTGATTCATTCGATGACCCTCTGATCAATGATGATAATGATTACATTTTGCTGGGCCATTGGTGACACCGACAATCATCATTGTCGGGTTTTTGTTTTTTGTTTTTTGTTTTTTGAAATAATTTTTTCTTTCTTTCTCCCTTAATGAAATAATGAAACAAAACAGAAAAACGAAACGAAAAAAATATTTTGACCGAAAATAATTGTTGTTGTCTAAATAACCAAAAACAATCCAAAAAGAGCCAAAAAAAAGCAATAAAACCCGTTTGCTTGCTTCTTCAGTTTGCTTGTTTTTTCGCTTCTTCTTCTTCTTCGAAGACACTAATGGTTTCTTTGTTTTTACACCGACTGACTGACTGACCGACTGATATTATTATTCATTTTAGGGATTCTTTTGAAAATGATAATGATATTATGGCTATATCATTATGTTCGATCGATCGATCGATCGATCGATCGATTGATTTGACAAAAAAAAATTCATTTCATTTTTAAACATTTTTTTTTTCGAAAAAAAAACTCCAAAGGCTAACTCTTTTTTCGGGGAGTGTTAATTCATAATTAACATTTCATAAATATTTCATTTCGTTTCACTATTTTTGATCAATTGTTTTTGTTACTCAAGGGACTCATCATCATCATTTGAATCGATTTTTTTTGAAAAAAAAAATTCCAAAATCGGACTAAAACGATTCAAAATGAAAACGCTAATCAACCTGGGAAACTCGGTAAAAAATTGCAAAGAATTTTTCCCATTCCTTTTTCATCGATAAACATCTGTCAATAATTATTCATTGGAGATTTTCGTTTTTCGTTTTTCTGTTTTGTTGAATAAATTCATTCAAAGAAAAAAAAACAATTTTCACAACTAAACTTTCAATCAATTCACTGTCCTATTTTTGGTCCTACTTTTTTTCTGTTGTTTATTGCTCAACAATCACCCTAAATATATCGGTCATTTTGTGGCCCGAGGTCAACAGAAAAATAAAAATTTAAATGAAAGTGGACCCATCGACGCCAAACATTTTCATTTGACGAAATAAGAGAAAAAAAGTGACAATCATCATCATCATCATAATGATAATCATCAAATGATGATTACCATTGATTCATGCGGTGTTTCTATGTTTCAAAAACATAAACGGTTACCAAGAACCTATAGGAAGAAAAATCAATTAACCAATCAAACCAATGTCCCAATTTTTCTAAAAAAGATTGCAATGTTGATCCCGTTGTTTTTATGACAAATTCTGGGTGTGTGTGTGTGTGTGTTTGTCCAATTTGCCAACGATACATGTTGTTTTTTCACAACTGGAAAACTTTTGCTTTCGAAAATTCCAAAATTTTTCAATAATCGATGATGATGATTGTATGGGAAAATTTCTTGTTTAACTGGGACAAATTTGATTATTTTCTTGTTGAATTGTTTATGTTTGTGTTTGGTAGCGCATTTGTTTATGTTTGTGTGTGTGTGTGTGTGTGTGTGTGTGTGTGTGATAAATTACAGCACCCGAAATTCGTTTTGACCACCATTGATATATTTATTGATTTTTGTTTTCTGTTTTCTCGGATTTTGGTCATTATACATTGTATATGCTGGGTTTATGTGTTTTGGCCTATAAACATTTGTTGTTGTTGTTAAAAAAAAGTAATAGATCTAATTATCGTCATCTTAGAAAATATTAATGGTCGATAATTGTCGTATATATTTTCGTTTGTTGATGGTGGTCATTATTCATTCATTTCGCTCATTCGAATCGTAATTCAACAAAAATAATGATAATAATTTTTATTAGCGTAACACGCACTACAAGAGGTCTTAGGTCTCCTTTAACGATAATCATCATCATTATTTATTTATTTTTGGGTTATGTTATCATTATCGTTTGTTGTTGTTGTTGTTGTTATTGTTGGGTCGGTGGTCATATTTCATTCGGTATGCAATCAGACCACCCGATCGTCACCCAATCAACAAAAAAAAAGAGTAAAACTTTACCCGAAAAAAACTCTCTATCACGTGTTATATTTGTTGTTGATTGTTGATTGGTGGTGTCAAATTCTGACAAACAACAACAACAACAATATTTATGTTTCAAACTTGTCAAGAATTTGTTGTTGTTGTTGTTTTTTCTGGAAAAAATAATAATAATAATAATTGTCATTTGGGGCCATTTATCGTTTGCAAAAAAAAATTTCTTTTCGTGGGTGGTTTTTTTCTGCTGTTGTTGTTGTTGTTGTTGTTATTGACATGTATTTTTGGCCAAACTGGATAGATTGATTTAATTTAATTATTTTAATTCGCCAAAAAAGAAAAAAATTCATCATATATCATATGCATGGATGATTCTATTTAAGATTGTTGTTGTTGTTGTTGTTGTTTCTTCTTTAAGTAAATTCTTGACAGTAATTTTTTTTTCATTTGCTTGGTCATAATTTAATTGAAAACACTTATTTATTTTTGTTATAAGCTTATTTATGTAATACATGTAGGCCACACACACATAATGATAACCAACTAACTCGATAACCAACCAAACAATAACAAATACAACAAATACCTGTCACACTATATCAACTTGGAAACAAAAATGAATGAATGAAACAGGGGGATAATAATGAAAATATTTGTATTTAATTTTGTGTGTGGAGTTTTTTTACCTTCCCTGCTTAAACAAATTATGAAATTGATGAATCACAAATATGAAAAAAAAACAATTTTTCATGTTAAAATAACATTTCAAATCAATCGTGCTGTGATTTTTTTTGATATGATTTCAATAATAATCTCTTCAAGAAATTCTGTTGTTGTTTTGCCATAGAGTACATGTTGATGATTAACAAAGTTTGACAAGTTGATCACTCTCTTGAAACACGGAAAAAAAAATTATACTAATCCGACAATATAGTATTGATATTTGGAATGGAAAAAAAGGGTTATTCATTTGGTAAAATATGGTTTTCATTCTTTTTATGTTTATTTTTTTTCAGTAAAAGTTTCAGGAAATTCAAATCAAATTGACACTAATCAGATTTTTAATTCAATTTTATTATCATTCGATTCTATTTTAACAATATAGGGACCGGTAGTGTTTTTTTTTTGTTTATTTAGCTTATTCGATTTGTAATCAACCTCGAATTTTAAACAATTTTTCTTTTATTTTTTTGGTTGTTTTAATTAGAGATTACAGGTTTTTCTTTCCACTAATAATAATAATTATAATATTTATTCAAATTACAATAATTGTTTGTTATAAGAAATGAATGATTTGCTAACGACAAAAAAACACACACACAAGAGGAATGCAGAAATGACAATTTTCATCCAAAGAAATTCCAAGTTTGCTTCAATTTTAATTCAATTATTATGAAGAATAGCATCATAAATTTGATGTACAGGTGTTGCTACATCGGTTACACGTGCTTTTAATGAAAGAACAAATTGTGTATTACCCGGTTGGATTTTTAATTCGGCCAATACCCAAATATTATTTGTAAATTTCATTGATTGATAAAGCATATCTTGACCTTCAACATTACGTCGGGCAATAGTGAAAATATTATTTGATTGTAATTTTTGTGATATTTGTTCAACAGTCATTGTAACATTTTCAATATTAAATTGTACTTCATTTTGTGCTGGTATATCTTTCCATGTTGAAAGAAATACACGTTTATCCATAGCACCATCTTCACTGCAAAATACATTGATCGGTATTATACAGCTAAAATAAAAAACATCAACATGATTTTTAACGGCAACCTGTAAACTTGTTAATGGATCCATTTTTTGTACTTGTCCAGTTGTATTCAATTGCAGACTAACATCAGCATTTGTATTTGGTTGTAATGGTGTTGGTACCTGTAATGGTTGTGCCGGTGTTAAACCAAAACTATTCTTATTAAATTGTATAGCAAATCCACCCATTGCTTGCATTGCTTTATTATGAAATGTCATATCCATATAGATTTGACCATTACGTCTGGAAAATGTTCCTTCAATTTCTAATCCTTTACCACGAACTGCTGGCAACCAAACCTAGATTTTGAAAAAAAAATTTTCAATTAATTAACTTTGTAAAATAAGAAAATAACATTTATTAGATAATACTTGTTTTGGTGGTGAATAAAATGTTTCGGAAGTTGCCAGACCAAAAATATCGCCCAATAGACCGGTGGTCGATAATCCAGCAGTTGATGAAGATGCTGCACCTGTAGTTGATGGTTGATCTGAACTAACACCGCCACCAAGCAATGTATCCAAACCATTACCAAGAAAATCAAGATTACTACCACCGGCAGTAGTTGCCGATGGATAAACATTTGTCGAACCAGATGCATTAATATCCAAACTAAGAAGATCACCAATTAAACTATCAGCAGCTGGAATAACAGTTGGTTGTGCTTGTTGTTGTTCACCAGCATTGGTATTATCATCACCCGAACCATTACGACTCATTAATGTTTTACGTTGATAACCACTACGACCTTCAACAAATGATGATGGTGGTTTATGATAAACTGATGCCAAACTACCAATATGACAGATTAATTCATCCAATAATGTTGGTTCCAATAGATCAGTTTCTTCAGAAATTAATGGTTTTTCAGCCAAAACTACTTCTTTAGCAGCAGCAGGATCTGTTGATAATAAACGCCAATAAATAAAACCACGATCACGAAGATCAGGATTATCACTATCCTGTGTAGCCAAACTTAATACTTGTTGTACTAATTCTTGTGTTTCGGTTGGTCGTTTAAGAAATAATTTTACTATAGCTGTTAAAAGTTGTAATTGAACTTGTGTATTTTCATCATGAAAACCTTCCAAAAATGTTTCCAATAATTCATCTGCATTATCAATACGTTCAGCATATTCACCAATAATCCAAATCATTGATGCACGTGCTTCTGGTTCGTCCAATGTATCTAAATTTTCACACAAAGTTGAAATAATGCTTTCATATTTATTAGGATATTTTCGGAAAATATCTTTAATAACAACAATAGCTTCTTGTACAACATAATTTACTTTGGTCTGTATCAATTCCAATAATGTTGCTACACAACGTTCAGCTGATTGTTCAACTTTAATTGCACAACGACCAATAGCACGAACTGCTTTTCGTACAAAATCCACATCAACTTCGGTTGCATATTCTTTTAATTCGGCAAGTACTTGATTAATATTAGCCTGTGATGCTAATCGTATCATAATATCTAATTTTTCCAATTTAACATAAATAGGATCATTATATTTGACAAAAAATACTTTCATTTCATGTTTAAGAATATCTGGTCGTTTTTGTACGATTAAATTTATATTACGTAATGCTACATATTGAACTTCAGGTTCACTTGATAACAAGGTAACCAATGGTGGTGCTAATTTTTTTGTCAATGTACCAACAAAATCAGAATCCTGTGCAATCATTTCAAGAAATTTCATTAAAACTTTTACAGCACTTAAAACAACGGCTGCATTTGCATGTGCTAAACGTGGTGTAACACGTTCACAAATACTTTGTGCTTCACGATCATCGGCCGGTGTATAATTAGCCAATGCATCCAATATGAATACCTGTCCCCATTCATTACATTCATTCAATGCTGTCAATAATTTATTAATTGTTTGCATATTCAAATCGACTAATGATTTTCCCGAACTTGATGCTTCATTTATTTCGGATAATGCAGCCACTGCATTAGCAACAACCATTGGATTTGAATCCGACAGTAAATCTTTAAGTAGATCAAGAAATCCTTGTTCTTCAACCATTTGTGCATTAATATCATGTAATTTAGCAACACATACTGCAGCTGTTTTTCTTACATAAGGATCTTCATCACGTAAACATTTTCGAAGTGGTTCACAAAGATATTCAGTAATTTTATCCACACGAATACAGCCCATAGTACGTACAGCCAATGCACGAATCAATGGATTTGGATCTTCACAATCTCGTACAAATGTATTAACAGCCATAATGGCTAGATCAGGTTGACTTTTAGCATAATTCATCAAATAAAGATAGACCAATTTTTTCAATTCCAAATTATCAGTTTGCATACAATTAACAACATCAGGAAATAAAGCCGATACATCTTTACCAACAGTCATTGATGCAATAACTTTTTTAACAGCTTCTCTTCGTTTTTCTTTTTTATCACTATTCAATTCACTTTTCAATTCGAATATTTCACCTTTTTTGGTGTTGGCAAAATATTTTGCATCAGTCATTTTTTCGTTTCGGATTTCAATAAACTTCGATAAACTTCAAGTTAACAGATTAATTGTCGTTTTGATTTGGAATGTTTTTTACGATGATGATGATTTGATGATGATTTGATTATTCTTTTTTTGTTTTCAGAACGCCCAGAATAAAATTTTTTTTTTGCTAAACAAAAGTTCACTCGGCTATATACAATTGACACATCAATCACCTGAATCGTTATTCAGTATCCAATGAATTCCAATAGATGGCAGATGATATGATTATCCACGCAAAAATGACATGCATGCTTGTTTTCGGCAAAGCATGCATGTTTTTATCATTTTGGTTTGTTGATTTTAGTGATTTTGGAATGATTTTTTTTTTAATTTGAGATTCAACAAACAAAATGCAAAATAAAACTTTATCCGAAGAACTTGATTCATTAATCAATCCGGAACCAATTTCGATTGATATTGATAATGATGGACAAGATGAATCAACATTAGCAACAAAAATTTTCGAAGTTAATCTAAATGCAGAAGATAGACAATATGAAAATTCAACAATTAGCCAGATTCGTCGAAATCAAATCCGACAATTATCATCATTTGATAAACGTTATTCGGGTAAAAAAATTAAACGACAAGATTTTATCGAAAGTTTTGAACATGTTGACGAAAATATTGATGAAGAAGAAGAAAGTATCGATGATGAAGATGAATATCATTCTTTCGATGATGAAGAAGATGACCATCAACATTCGGATGAAGATCAATCCCCAATCCTATATGATCATAAAGAAGCAAAACAACAAAATTTAAATATTATGAATGATTATAATGATGAACTGGAAATGAAAGCAATTTCAGTGAAAAATCAATTAATTCTTTATGAATCTTTATTGAATTTACGTATGAAAATACAAAAAATTTTAACATTATCAAATCGTTTACCATTGGATTTGTCCATATTAAACAATGATGAACAGAATATGGAAATGAAAAATCAATCATTGAAAGGAATTCAAAAATTACAAAATATTTTTCTGGAAATGGATGATTTGATTCACAATAATAATGATGATGGTGATCTTGAAACAACGAAAATGAAAAAAAGAAAAACACCGAATTCGGAAAAGATTTTAGCAAAAAGATTTTGTACATTAAAACAATATTATCCGGAAATAATTGATGAATGGCATGAGAAAACAAAATTTGTTCATCAGAATATTAATCTTAAAAAATTTGATTCATTCAATATTCGTCCATCGAAAATAATTGATAAAATTCTTATGGATAAAGAACGATTAATAAATCGTACGAAAATCAAACGAAGTCAATATAAAATTATTGGTGAAAATGATGATGATGAAATCGATGATGATGGTCATATATTTGATGATGATGATTTTTATCAATCATTATTGCGGCAAATAATCGAAAGTAAGACATCGAACGCCGCATCCTCTGAATATTTATCATCGAATAAAATTACCGAAATACAAAGATTACGTAATAAATCAAAAAAACTAATCGATACAAAAGCAAGTAAAGGTAGAAAAATTCGTTATGATATTCATGAAAAATTGGTAAATTTTATGGCACCATTAGATCGTACAATAATGGAAGATGATGCTAAAAATGATTTATTTAAATCTTTATTTGGAAATTATTCCATCGAATCACCATCAACAGCAACAACCGATGATTTATGATTTTTCTAAATTGCAAAGGTTAATTACAATCAATCAAATAAATTCAAATTTTTTTTTGTTCAAAATTAAGCGCCTTTCACCTGTATGAACACAGCTGGTCTGTTGTTGTTGTTGTTGTTGCCACGCCTTTGTTTTGGTTTTTTGGTTGTTGTTGGGTCTTCGAATTGATTCGATTTGTGATCCAATTTTTTCATTGATTATCATTTGGAAATTTAAAGTATTTTCTGGCTCCAAAAACCACATATCGAGAATATGTAAAATATAAATTCATTTTTCCTTCTTCAAAGTGTGTGTGTGGTGTATGGATGTACACAACATTATCATCGAATTCGATCGATAATAATAATAATTTGTTTGTTAGAGATGAACATCAACGTTTCTCTTATTATTGTTAATTATCATCATCATCATCATCTTCGTCGATATTTTTCTAATTTATTTGTCTATCTAAATTTATTGTTATTATTATTATTATTTTGTTTGAAATTAACCGAAATTGATGCTTCGGATCATGATAATTATAATTATGAACAACAACAACAACAACATAGCTCGATGATGACAACAACCATCAATAATAATAATAAAGATGGTGATATGTCACTTTGGATCGATGAAATGCAAGTAAAGCAATTTTTCAATGGTATTTTTCCCTTGGTTTATTCATCACTGATTTTGAAATGGATTTTTGTTTGTGGGAGCAAATTTTAATCTGATTTGTTTGTTTGTCTGTTTTTCATAGGATTTCCAATGAAAATTCATGCAATTGTTGATGGTGTTGTTTTACCATATGTTTTGGATCCAAATTTTGAAAAATATTTACCAATAATACCATCACAAGTAACATCAGTAAATTTTACATGGAAATCTGGAATAAATCGAAATTATTATTATGATTTTGATCAATTACAATCATTTAATAATGATATTTTAAAGGCACCCGTATTATCAATCGAATCAAAAGGTTTGGTGCCTAAACAGCCAAAAGTCTTTCAAGTTTTCATTCCTTGTGTTGGAAATCAATCTGGAATTGCATCATTTACATTAGGATTACGAATAATTAATATTGATACTAATCAATATGTTGCTGGTACACCGATTCGTTTAAAATTACAAAAACAATGTACATATCATGGTCCGGATCCTGAATGCGATAAAAAATGTGGTAATAATGGTAAATGTAATATCGAAAAAATTTGTGTTTGTCCTACAGGTATTTCTTTTTCGTTCCAAATTTTTGACTTATTTTTTTCAATGTTTTTTTCTCTTGTTTTGTTTTTCAATCTAAGGTTTTCTTGGTAAATATTGTGAATCAGCACTTTGTTATCCACAATGTATGAATGGTGGAACATGTATTGCACCGGGTGTTTGTGTTTGTTCACAAGGATTTCAAGGTTTACATTGTGAGGTATTTTTTTCAAAATTTTCCCTTATGAAATCAATACAAAAGCTTCATTTTTTCATTCAATTCAGGGTGGAATTTGTAGCCAAAAATGTTTGAATGGTGGAAAATGTATACAAAAAGATTCGTGTCTTTGTCGACGTGGTTATTATGGTCCAAGGTAAATGTCATATTCAATTTCTATTAATTGAATTTCATTGATTGATTTTTTGATTTTCTCTCAATCATTCTGCCAGATGTGAATATTCAAAATGTTCAATACCATGTTTGAATAATGGAAAATGTGCTGGTGTTAATCGTTGTCGTTGTCGTAAAGAATATTCTGGTTCACAATGTCAAATACAAACTAATAATACTAGATTTCATCGTTTTAAAAATCGTAATCATAGAAAAAAATCAAAGAAAAAATTTGTATAATTTTATTATTATTTCAACAGCAAAAAAAAAACATTACAAGTTAATAAAAAATTTTCGAATTATAATTCTTCCTTCTCCTGTTTTGAATATATACCCGGATAAACTTTATTTTCAATTGTAACATCTTTACAACGTTTTTGTTTGATAAGAAATTCTTTAGCATCCCATGCTTGTGAACCATCTTTAAACATAAATATAGCACGATTATCATCAACAATAAAACGATCACAAATAATATGATTATTTTGTAAACTTGATTGCCATAATGATGTTATTGTTTCGGTTTCATCACGTGTTGGCATTTCATCAACCGAAACGAATGCCATTAATGTTTTACCTTTTTTACTTAATTTTAAAACATTTTCTGGATTTGAAAAATCCATTTTTGTCATATCTAATTGTGGTGATTTACGTAAATGTTCGGGTAATTCATCTTCAGGTAATGGTTCTTCATTTTCTTCCCATTGATCAAAAAGACGTTCAAGATCGGCATCATTATAATCACGAATATCTTTTTGTTTCCAATTTTTTTCATTACAATTTATAAAAGATAAACTGATTAGAAATATTAATAAAATAATATAATTATAATGATGATTATACATTTTTTGTATTGATAATGATTAATCTCAAAAAAACCAAACCAAAACTGTCGAATTTTTTCAATAAAAATGACACAACCAAAAATTCGTTTGTTGACGTTATTCATGAACGTTGTTGCAACATAATCATTTTTTTCTGTTTTTGAGTTTTTGAGTCAAATTCGAATCGATAAAATTTTTAATTTTCTAAATTCGGATTACTTTAATTTAATTATAATGTCGGGAAGTTTTTGGCGTAGTTCTCATTTGTAAGTTTTTTTTGTAATTAATGATTTTAACGCGTTCGCTACCGGAGATTTCGAAAAACACATAGAACTACAGCAAATAAACGACGCATATATGCGTCGCTGGTAGCGAACGCGTTAAAAGTAAAAAATGAAAAACAAACATTAATTTCTGCTGTATTTCGATAGTCAACAATGGTTATTAACTCGTCAGGATCTTCTTCGTGAAAGACATTATGATTTACAGATATTAAGTGAAGAAGAATATCAAAAATTAATGATATTTTTTTCAAATTGTAAGTAATGATTTTTTTTAAACGATTTTAATCAATTTTTTCCTTTAAATTAAAAGTTATACAAGCTCTTGGTGAACAATTAAAAGTCAAACAACAAGTAATCGCTACTGCTATCGTCTATTTTCGAAGATTTTATGTTCGTAATTCATTAAAATGTATTGATCCATTACTTTTAGCACCAACATGTTTATTTTTGGCATCCAAAGTCGAAGAATTTGGTGTCATATCAAACAATCGACTTATAAGTACTTGTCAACAAGTTTGTAAGTTTTTAAAATCAATTTTTGTATCATAATAATGATTATTATTTCATCTTTATAGTAAAAACTAAATTCTCCTATGCATATCCACAAGAATTTCCATATCGTATTAATCATATATTGGAATGTGAATTTTATTTGATGGAAATAATGGTAATTTCTTTTTCTGATTCTATGATTTTATTGATAAATCAAATATTTCATTTCCTATAGGATTGTTGTCTAGTATTATATCATCCATATAGACCTTTGATTCAATTTGTTCAGGATTGGAATAATAAAGATTCTATTCTATCAACAGCATGGAATGTTGTTAATGATAGTTTTCGTACCGATGTTTGTTTACTATATCCACCACATCAGATTGCATTAGCCTGTCTTCATATTGCCTGTGTAATTACACAAAAAGATTGTCATAAACAATGGTTTGCTGAACTTAATTGTGATCTGGATAAAGTATTAGAAGTAACTAAATATATATTAAATCTTTATGAAATGTGGAAACAATTTGAAAAACAAGAGAAAAAAGAAATACCAGAATTGTAAGTATCCGAATACACGGATATGATTTTTAAAGCATACTAATAACATCTCTTTTTGTTTTAGACTAGAAAAGATGCCCAAACCAAAGACACAACCTTCAAGGTAATTAATCAATTGATTGAATTGCTATATTGAAACTAATTCATTTTGTTTTCATTTCATCAGACCACCTTCACAAGGAACAAATGATACACAGAATTCACAAAATAGTATTCAAAAATAACAAAAACTTTGATTTCATGTTGGTGGTATGAATGTTTTTATTTCAAAAAAATTATAATAAAAATGATTACAATTGTCAATCTATTTTTCTTCTTTGATTTCTTTTTTACCACCTCTGATACGACCAGTACGACGAGCGGCAATAAGACCAACTTTACGACCGGCACTTGCATCACGACGTACAGTTGATGCTTTACCAATATGTTGATGATTACCACCACCGTGTGGATGTTCAACTGGATTCATAGCAACACCACGAACTTTAGGCCATGAATTTCGTTTAGCTTTATATTTGTGATAAGCACGGCCAGCTTTCAAAATTGGTTTATCAATACGACCACCACCAGCAATGATACCAACCATAGCTCGATTAGATGATTGTATTACTTTCTTTGCACCCGAAGGTAGCTTGATACGTGTTTTCTAGATTTTGAAAAAAATGAATCAGATTAGCAATATTCTCCAACTTTTGAATCATACCTTTGTATCAGGATTGTGCGAGATAACAGTGGCATAATTGCCAGAGGCTCGAGCCAATTTACCACGATCACCTGGTTTTTCTTCCAAATTACTGACAACAGTACCTTCGGGCATTGTTCCAACTGGAAGAATGTTACCGATTTGTAAGTTTGCCTTACGTCCACAATAGACAAATTGTCCGGTATACATTCCTTCAACCGATATAAACAATTCTTTTCTTAATTTGTATTTATATGGATCGCGAAAAACTACAACGGCCAATGGAGCTCCACGTCCAGGATCGTGAATAATTTCCTATTTTGAAAATAAATAAAAATTAGTAAAAAATTCAATCAAAAACACAGAAAGAATGAGAGTTTAACCAATAAGCAATCAGAAACAGCCTCTAATTATCATTCATGAATATTATGCATTTTTTAAAGATAGAATTTACATCATTCATTTGAGGTTTTCAAGAATTCAATTCCAAAACTAAAAAAAAATTCTACTTACTTTGACAACACCTTTAATGTAGCCATGTCGTTCAGCAAAATCGATCGAACGGAATTTTGGTGATCCTTTTCGATGTTTATTATGGCTTTTGAAAACGGAACCAGCACCTTTACGTTGACTTCGAATTACACGTCCCATTGTGATAAACGAAGAAACAAAAAAATGGGAATTTTTTTTTGATGAAATAAAAAAAAACGAAATCAAAACCGAAACAAAAAAAAAAGGAACACCGAATAGACACGTGAATAAGAAGAGAAAGAAAAGGAGAAAAAACAGAACGTGTGTGTGTGTGTGCGCTGTACGGAAACGGGAAACAAGGGAAACTTGTTTTTTCTGTGTGCGTTATAAATGTTTCGGGAAAATTGCTCAAAAAAATGTTTCATCATCAAAATTTAATAATTTTTAATTGAAATTAATTTTAAAAAAATTTAAATAATAATGACTAATTTGTTAAATATCATTTTTTAAATTGAATGAAACTAATTTGGTGATAAAATTCTTAAATAAATCCAAAAAAACTGATAAAAAAAATTACATCGTATATGAATGGGTATTGTTTCTAGTGGATTATTTTGGCAAACAGTGAGCACACAAAAAGCTATGTTGCTCACTGTTATTACAATCAATTCGTTGTTAGCTGTTTCATTGTTAACTTGTAATTAGACATCAGCAATTTTTTTTTAGTGAAATAAAAAAATTTCTTTTTTAAATAATTTTAGAAATTATTCATATTTCTTTTCTTAGTTCTTTATTTAATTTACTATGAGCTATCCTCAGAATGGAACCAAACCTCTAGATCAGCAGGTAAGATTTTTTTTTGCAATAAAAAAAAGGTTAATTATGTTTTCTAAAATAATGATTGGCTTCTTTTTTATTTTTGTTTCAGTTCGCTGCTCTGGAAATCAATCAGAACAATGGTCCTCAATTTGATGCTGTTGCTCCGGCTCCGGTTGCACAAATGCCGGCAAGAGCTTATGTGAATCCTAATGAAAATTTCCAAAATCCGGAAATGTACAGAGGACGAGGTAAATTTCTGAAATTTTATATCATTCAATGATTAACTTTATGAATTTCTCATAGGCTTCAATAATCAATATAATGAAGGTCCACGTGATTCATACAATCGTCCTAGAACATTCAATAACTCTGGTGATCGTGGTGGCGGCCGAAATTTTAATGATAATCGATTTCCACGTGAAAATGGCTTTGTGAATCGTGGCTATAACACGAATAATCGATTTTTTCCGAGAGGCAATGCAAATCTATCGTGGCGAGATCCTCCTCAGCCACAACAGCCTCAAATGGAAGCTGCAAATGGATTTCAGGCTGAAAATCAAACCCGTAATTTTTATCCTCGAACCAATATGAATGGATTTGGTGGTCAGAATCGCGGTGGAAATAATCCTGGTTTTTATCAAGGTCGAAGTCCACCAACTCAACAAGTTAATCATGATTGGACTGTCCCATTGCCACCAAACGAAGAGTATGAAAAGCATTTGTTTTCAGGCGTTCATACTGGCATTAACTTTGAAAAATATGAAGATATTCCCGTCAAAGTTACCGGTGAATATTGTCCACAACCCATCGAATCATTTTCTGATCCTCAATTGAAATTGACACCGATTATTGAAAATAACGTTAAATTAGCCAATTATGATAAACCTACACCGGTGCAAAAGTATGCCATTCCTATTATAATGGCTCGTCGTGATCTAATGGCTTGTGCACAAACTGGTTCTGGCAAAACTGCTGCTTTCTTGTTGCCCATATTGAATAATGTATTCATATCTGGCCCTCCTGCTCCCCCTCCTGTACGTCGACTAGCTGGCTATCGAGCTCGTCATTTTCCGTTAATTTTGATTCTGGCTCCAACACGAGAGTTGGCACTTCAAATTTATGACGAAGCTAAAAAATTTTCTTATCGTTCCCGTGTTCGACCATGTGTCGTATATGGTGGTTCAGATATTGGTGCCCAAATGAGAGATCTGGACAATGGATGTCAACTTTTAGTTGCCACTCCTGGTTAGTTTTATATCAATAATTATAAAAATTTCATTGATTAAATTCATTCCCATCCATTTGAATAGGACGTTTGATTGATATGGTGGAACGAAAAAAAATTGGTTTGGAAAAGATTGCTCATCTTGTTTTGGATGAAGCCGATCGTATGCTTGATATGGGTTTTGAACCACAAATTCGTCAAATCGTTGAAGCTTGTGACATGCCTGTGACTGGCGTACGACAAACATTGATGTTTTCGGCTACTTTTCCGAAAAAAGTTCAAGAATTGGCAACAAACTTTTTAGATAATTACATTTTCTTGACTGTTGGACGTGTTGGAAGTACTTCGGAAAACATAACACAAAAAGTTGAATGGGTCAATGAGAACGACAAACGTTCATACTTACTTGATTTGTTGAACAATGATAGTCATCGTTCAGGTTAGTAATTTTTTTAAATAAATATCTTTTATTCATTTAGATGATGATATTTTTATCAAGACACTCGAAGAATGAGATTAATGATTAATTATCGATTTAAACTGACATGAATATTTATAATTGAATCATATGAATCATAATAATGTACATCATTGTAATATTCTTTTTCTTTCTTTCTTTTTAGGACCTGAATCTTTGACTTTGATCTTTGTTGAAACCAAAAAAGGTGTTGATTATCTTGAAAATTTCTTGGAACGAAATGGCTGTCATGTAAGCAGCATTCATGGTGATCGAAATCAATCGGATCGTGAAGATGCATTGTATAGTTTCCGAGCTGGACGAACTCCAATAATGGTTGCAACAGCTGTAGCAGCTCGTGGTTTGGATATTCCAAATGTCAAACATGTAATCAATTTTGATTTACCAAACGATATTGAAGAATATGTTCATCGAATTGGTCGAACAGGTCGTGTGGGAAATTTGGGTTTGGCAACATCGTTTTTCAATGACAAAAATAAAAACATTGCCATGAATCTTTACGAACTTATGGTCGAATCAAAACAAACTATTCCAGATTTCTTGACTAGCATGGTTAAATCAATTAATGCTGAATCACGAAACACTTGGAACCGTCACAAGCCTGGTCCACGAAGGTTTGTTTTAATATTGAATTATAAGTTATAAATTTTTTTATTGATTATATATTGTTTTAGATATGGTGCTGGTGGTTTTGGTTCACGAGATTTCCGACAATCTTATGATGATCATGGTGAAACACCACGTTATTCAATGGCTCCACCGCGACAGATGAATGGTTTTGTTGGCTACAACAATTCCAATCACAACAACAATTCATATTCGCGTCCATCCAACCCTCGCAATAATGTTCCAAGCTGTTGGGACTAATTGTGATTGGTTAATTTTAATCAATCCGAATCTAAAAATATTGGCTCGTAATATGGCTTGGCATAAAATGCGTTCCTTCTTTTAATCTATAATAACGTCAAGTCATATCATTTCAAATTGGCATCATCTCTATAATATTACGTTTATTTATAAAAATAATAATATGGTTAGTATTCTCATTTCAATTGACTCAACAAACAACTTTTCCCTTTGTAAAATCGGCATTCGCATTCATCATTCTTTCTTTTTTCAATTCTTCAAAACAAACATAATAACATGATTGATCTCGATTTTGATTGTATTATTTATCAAGTCCGGTTTTTTTTAATTATCACTGGAAATTTCATGAGAAAAAATGCAATCAATCTTTATCAATTTTCTAAAACAATTCAAAGCTGTGTGACAATTTTTTTTAAAAAATTATAAAATATGTTGCTTCTTCTACTTTTCGGTGTTTATGGATCAATCGCCGCATGACTGTGATTCGGTGATTGATCTATAGTCATTCACTGTATTGAATTTTTATGTTCATTTATTCATTCATTCGTTACATTGAATGAACAATTTGTTGTAACCAAGATTTTTTTTTTTTAAAGAAAAATATTTTCCGATGCCATTGCTCACACTAAAAATGAGAATAAGTGAGTGATTAAAAGAAATAAATAATCAGAGAAAACCAAATCACCGAACAACAGCATACACAAACATACATAACAATTACAAATCATTCTAGTCTTACCTCTTCTAATTCTTTTTGTATAAAAAAAAATGATAATAGGAATTGTTTTTTTTCAAATTTGTTTCCATACACACATTATGCGAACAAAACAAAACAAACAAAAAATTGTAAACGAAAACATTTGTGCCTTAACTTATTTTGTTATAAACCACAAAGTTGAGGAACAATCATTGTTTTTTTTTTACAATTTTGTAACATATAGTATTATCATTAACCAATTTTAATTAATTAATTTAGATCCAAAAGTGAGAAGAAGAGGCAAAGACTTTTAATATTATTATTACTAATGATGATGATCATCATTATCATCATCATTATTCAATTCAAATTTTGTCATTTTCTCTGATTTTTTATGGGTGGTTTGATATTCAAGAATAACGAATGAATAACGATTTGAACAAATTATTATATCACACACATCAACAGCAGCTAACATATTTGATTGTCATACAACAAACATTTTTTTTTTAATACGAACACAAACGAACGCATATAAATTTCAAATTTTTTTTTTAATTTTACACAAATTACGAATGCCGTATTAAAAAAAAATATAAATTATCTTTTACCACTAATTACACATACACAATATTGTCTAACTCGTTGCTAATATTTTTTTTTTTGATTAATCCATCCTCTTTAATTGTTTTCTGAAAATGATTCCTTTGTTTTTCAATTTATGTAATTGATGATGGATTGATCTATTATTCACTCACATACAAACAAACACATGAAAAAACAAATTATTGAATACTAACCGTACATCATTTTTACACATCCAATACACACACATTCTCTACAGAATCTTTTTTTTTATCAAATCCCTTTCTGTCCACAAAATACACAATACACAATATTATTATTTTAGTAGTAAATTGTATTTGATTATGATTAAAGGAATTTATAAAATTAATAATAATAAAAAACATTGAATGATGCTAAATAATGTTTGTTTTAATGATTGTGGCTAAAAACTTGAACAAATTTAAAAAATGATTTAAATTTTCATTAAAATAAATTGTAGACCAAGTGTTGCCATCTAGAGTTTGAGTTTTTTAAAATTTAACTTGATTGTTTCTATTTCGTACAACAGATGGCTGGCCAATCCTAATTTTTGAAAAAAAAACATTCACGATGGAAAAAGAGCAAATTGATGGATGAGATTGAAATAAAGATAATAAAGGATTCAAATTTCAAAAAAAAATTAATTTTTATTCAATTTAATTCATCAATAAAATATACAGTAACGTTTCAATTATAACCAGGCTTATATCACAGTTAGTTCTACATCGAGAATTCTATTAATTTGTTCGCTTTGGTAGATAATTTCAATTTCATATTGTTGAGTGAATTCTTTTTCCATTATTCGGTTGTTTTTGTTGTTGGCCAAAATTTTACAGCTTGAATGTCTTGTTTCCAATTGAACAATCAGGCCATTTGTTTCGAAATCTGATCGACTTATTTTGGAAATGGTCAGCATAGGATGATAATGAATGAATGTTTCGCGAGTCATTTTCAATGATTTTATCACATCAGATAGAAGATAAAATGGACTGAATAATTATGATTGGGTATGAGATAAGAACATATTTTTTGTTTATGATAATAAAAATTTTTCAATGTTACTTACCATTGATTAGGCTTATGTAGAAAAGTATAGAGATTCAATAATGGTCGGCAACTTGTTTCGAATTCATATTCCATCATGATGTCATCATCATCAACATCTGAATCATTATCATCGGAAGATAGATCGGCAAAAATATCGAAACCTGAATCTACTGTGATATGGTCGAATGAACATAACAATGAAAATAAGAGAAAATGGAACAGAGAACATGATGTTTGCAAATCTAACCTAAAGAATGATGGCTATTAAATTTCCAGACATTTGACCGGTCAATCATTGAATGATCAGTACTGATATCACTGTAAAAGCCTTGTAAAAATTTACTCATAATTTTTGAACGACTCAATTGTATGGGTGTTGTTCCCGAATAAGTCTGTGTGCCATCATCATAGAATAATAAGTAATATATTTGATAAAGATCAAAAAAAGAAGAAGAAAAATTGAGCTGAACAAGCATTTCATTTTATTTCAATCAATACTTACAGATATGCGTGGATCAGCTCCATACGAAAGTAACAGACGAACAATTTCAATGTGATCATTTTCGATAGCATCATGAAGAGGCCTAGCCAAATTTGATAAGATAAGTACCATAAGATTTTTAAATTGCTCAAAAAAAATTATCATCATAATCATAATCATTTCATACCTGATGCCACCGGGGGCACTTGCATTAACATCGGCCGAATGTTGTAATAAAAGTCGAGCAATTTCTAAATTTCCACGTGATGAACATTCATGTAATGGAGTGTAACCAGCATTATCTCTAGCATTTACATCACATGAATCCGATTCTAAACATAATCGTACAACATCCTTGAATGTGTTGTAAAAAATAAATAAAAAACAAACAAACAAACAAACAAAATGATTAATCGAAATTTTGTTTTTGTTATTTTTGTTAGACCAAAATCAACTTTTTTTTTTAACATACCAATCGATTATTTTTGGCCGATCGATGTAATAAAGTTTCACCCAAAGATTTATTGACCACAAAACGACGATGACGACAACGACCATTGATCGAATCAAGAAGACGATTATTATTATTATCCTAAAAAATGAATCATACATATTGTGTGTATTTAAAAAGGAATTAGATTCGAGAATGTGTTGATATACTGTATATTTACCATTGAATTTTCTTTTTTTCCATTATTATTTCTATTACAATGTTGTTGTTGTTCTTTACGAAATAATTTGTTTTTGTTTGATTTTTTTCTTGAATTACGTATCATATCTAAACCGGAACGAAATCTTCTTCTTCGTACACTATTAACATTCTGTTTGTTTTTTAATTCAGGAGAAAATGAAAAACCAAAACGAAATGTGTGTGTGAAAAAAAAATATTTTTCAAAAATATGCAAAACCAAAAATAATGTCATTTAATTACCTTTTTGTTATTTGCTTTATAATCTTCGGATTTACCATTATTATTATCATTTAATTCAATGGAATCTTTTGATTTGATAATTTCTTTATCATTATCATCATAGAAATTATTATTATCTTCTGTTTTTTTTAAAAAAAAGTAAATTTTAAAAAATCCGATTTAAAAGAGTTATTGTAAATTTAAAATTAATCAAAAAACAAAATACTAACCAAGATTCCATTTAGAATGTTTTCGTTTATTATCACAAAATTCACCATTAACACTGTTATTTGATTGTTGATCATCATCATCATCATTATCATGATGATCAATCAATTTGAAAGACTCATTTGCATCACAATTATTTTGGTTTGTTGATTGAGATTCTTGTTTCGTAATTTTTTTCATTTTCTTTTTTGGTTTTGTTAATGATGATGATTTTTCCTAATGATTTTCCGAAATGAAAAAAAAAATATTTTCCCCAATTGAAATAAGAATCAAATTCAAACAAAGAAAGAAAGAAAGAAAATTACCAATTTATTACGATGATGTTGATCGATAATCGATAATTGTTTTTGAATAAAGTGGCCATTTTTAGCGTTATCATTGTTGTTGTTTGATTTCGTGATAATCTATATCGATCGATTTGATATGATTTTTTTTGGAGGGAAGAAAAACGATTAGCAAAATTAATCATCATCATCATTATCATCATTAAACGCATATTATGTGCACGCATAACACTTATTTATTAAGGTTGATAATTTATTTAAATTGATTGATTGATTAAGAGAGAAACAACACTAAACAACCAAACCAAACAACAAACAGAAATTCTTTCAATCGGAATTTAATCAAGCTTCTATTTGCTAATAATAATAATAATAATGTAAGCTAATAATATGATGACGGGAAAGAAAAACCTGAACCATATTAAATCGGTTTGCCAATAATAATGGATCGAATAACTTTTTCTTTTTCTTTTGGGGTGATTTAAAGAACCACCACTCTATCTCTTGAACACACTTATTACTTTACACGCAAACACACACACACACACAAAGTATTGAATTGATCTAGCCACCATTGAGAAATTGACATAGAGAGAAAAAAGCATTTGATTAGTATAAGTATGTGTGTATTATGTAGAGAGAGAGAGAGAGACTAAAAGTTTGTCGGAATCATCTTCCTTATACACACTAAAATACTAACACTATGTGTGCACCAGAGAGTCATTATAATTCACGAGAGCGCGCGCCAGACCGAAGACTCTTAAATGAAACGAAACGAAAACCCGAAGAGAAAGAAAGAGAGAGAGAGAATTGAACCGAACCGAGAATCGAATAAACGAACGACCGATTTGCCGTTTTGCCTCAACACACACACACACACATACCATATTACCGTTATAAGTCGACAATACACACACACAATACAATACAATTCACGCAAACGACCCATGATGATGACGGCGGCCGTTTTTTTTTTCTTTTTCTTCTTTTTTGGATTATATTTTACACACTAACGACATACACTCTGTTTCATTTCATTTAGTTATTACGAGATTCCATCGGCAACAGAATTTAATATCTCACTCGACACATACACACAAAGTTCCGATGGTTATAAAATAAAATAAAAAAAATACGGAATCTGAATAAACACAGAATGAAAGTGAAAACTAACCGACAAACAAACTATAAAGTATGTAAAAAAGGGGGCCAACCAAATTCAAGTCAAAATATACAGTAGTTGTGAGATGTGTGAACACATCACACACACATATGTCATAGGCCCCGAGAAATACAAAAAATGCAACAATATTTCCATTGAAAATCTGTCAAGCAATCTGTCGCAAATATATTAAGTGGTGGTGGGCAACAAACAGAAAAAAATACTGCAATATGATACACACATAATGGCGTAATCACCAGTAAGTTATATCAGCGAAAAAAAAATTTATCAAGGGGAAATCATGGAATATTTTCATTTCATTCTTGTTTTTTGTTTTGGGGGGGGGGTTGTTCAATAGAGAATAACCAACCAACCAACCAAACTAAACAAGAGCGCATCACACAACCAACAAAAAATAACCATCACCGAGAATATATAAAGAGAGAGAGAATGAATTATTACATCGTCATGTTCGTGTGTGTCGTATAAAATACCATACACGACGAAAACGACGACGACCATCTCGAATGACAGCTTCTAACACTAACCTAAACACACACACGAAAGCAAATTCTTGTTGCTTTTGGAGTAGAGAAAAAGAAAAATACCATTAGCCATGATTATCATCAACAAAAAGATCTCACACTTTTTGTTGTTGTTGAATGTGTATGGCTTCTTTTTTTTCATATATTAAACAACAAGAACAGAAAAGAAACCAGAAAAAATATAATATTTATCTGGCATTGAAAATAAATGAACTTCTTACTTTTTCATTTTTTGGTTTTGTTTGATTGCTGTTTTTGGCTAACGATGTTGATGTGGATGATGATGTTGATGATAATGGCATTTTACTGCTGCTTCCACCATGATTATTACCATTCAAAAATGATGATTCTGTTGTTGGTAATGAATATTGCTTTTGTTTTTGTTGTTGTTGTTGACAATGATGATTATTAAGATGATTAAAACGATCATGTTGATCTACAATCGGTTTACCATTCCATTGATCATTATTGTTGGCACTATTATCAGATGTTATTGATAATTTACGATTTGTTTGATGATGATGATGATCGATCAATGGATTCCAAACATTTGTTGATGATGATTGTTTTGAATAATTTTGTTGTGATTGTGGTTCATTTTTTATCATCAAAAAACCATTGGTCGTCGTATCATTTTCCGATTTTTGTTCACTCAATTGATGATGATGATCATTAAATTTATTCGTTGTTGTCGTCGTCGTCGGTGATGTTGATTTTGATTGAATTAAAGATTCTTGTAGCTTTTTCAAATGATCCGAAAATGATGATGAAGAATTTTGTTCCGATGTACGATTAAGATAATCAGGAATACTGAATGGATTTTCATTATAGATTGCTGTTTGTGGATGATGATGATGACCATAAGGTGATATCGAATGATTATTTGTTGAACGATGATAAAAATTCTGTACAGCAGCAGCTGATGGAGATGGTGGAGGTGGATATGTTGACGTAGTTGAAACATTTGGTATTTTATAACTGATAGATTGATTATTCAATACTGATTGTGTTGATGATTGTGATGGATTCATATAATAATGATGATGATGTGATGCATAAATTGTTGATGGTATCAATGATGGAACAGACAATGATGATGATGATGATCCAATCCCATATGGATGATGTGGATGATGATGAGGAGAAATTTCCATTAAAGTTGAATTGTAAACATTTTCAGTTGATAAATGATTAGATGTGGCTGCTGTTGTTATCGTTGATGATGGTCCATACATAGATGATGACATTAATGAATTTTCCGGACAAGTAACTGATGAATTATTATGTTGTTGTTGTTGTCCATTATATGAGATCATTGATGATGAAGATGCGGGTGGTTGACAAAAATTTGGCAAACGAAATGATCCGATTATTGGTGAAACAGATGATACAGATGTTCCATCATTTGATGATATGGCTGTTGTTGATGAAGAAGAAATTATTGTTCGTTGTTTATCCGATGTTGATGACGAACACAAATCGACATTTTGATGCGGATGCAACGCAGGATTATTATGATGAACAACAGCAGCCGAAGATGGCATTATCATTGACGAATTATGATCATTAATGTTAGCATTTTTTACCGAAATAAATTGTCTAGCATTAAATGCTGAATATGCTTGATTAGTAGTGGTTATCATTGGTTCGAATAAACCCGGATAATACATTTTTTAATCAAATCAATCAAGGTAATGCTGATGCCTTTTTTTTGATATCGGAAGAAAAATCACATGTAAAAAAAACAAATGAAAACAGAAACATTACAAACGATTATTATTTAGGCAAAAATCAAATATTATTTCATTAATGAACAACATTATTATCATCATTTTAAAAAAACATAATTGATTATTACCAATAACTACTATTTAGATAATGAGAGAAATTACAACGATTGCATTAGAATAAACAAATGATATGATGGTGGAAACAAAAAAACAAAACAAAACGAAAAATCTTTTTGTCACATCATTATCAAAACCAAAAACCAAACTAAAAAGAAATATTGTGTAATTACACAAACATTAACTAACTAACTATCTAACTAACTAACTAAACAACAACGACCGGATAAATTAATCACTGATTGACTTGACTTGATTTGATGACAAAGATTATTGTTGATTACATCTCTTGTACATACCAAGGTGGATTACGATAACGATGATGATGATAATGATGATAATGATGGAAAGAATGGGAGTAAAAGAAGAAAAAATCCTAACCATCATCATCAACTAAATGATGATTATTATAAGGAAGAAAAAAAGCTGTCGTCGTCGTTGTGGTTGTTTTTCAAGGGTCACAAATTAAGACACAATTAATCACTAACATCATTATAAAAAAGATTCTTTTTTGTTTATTTTCCTTTTTTTCCACATACAAAAAAAAAAGAAATCACATCACCCAAAATGAAGATTTTTCACACAGAACCAAAAAGAATATATGAAACTCTATGAGCTATACACAATGGAATCGTATTTATAGAATTGAAAAAAACGAAATGAAAGAATTCATTACACACGCGAACAAACATTGAAGAGTAGTTTTTTTTCATATATGAAACTTTCAAAGCTTCAAAGATGCAAAAGTTTGAAAATGAAAACTTTTTTTTTCAAGGCAAATTAAACATTCTGCCTTGTAGTCGTCGTCATTCTGTGTTTGATAATGATGATGATGAGGATGTGAACCCACACACAAAAAAAAACATCGACAAGAAAGATTTTCTTTCAAGAAAAATTCAAGATGTGTGCTTTGATATATCTTTTGTATGTACAATGGTGCTTCAATTGTGTGCAGTCAGTCAGTCAGTAAACGTTCGGTCACCGATCGAAAGATCGTGAATTTGAGCCCTATTCACAAAACAAAAAGAAAAAGAAAAATGAACACACACAACAACAAAAAAACCGAATGTCCGATCTTCCGATCAAACCAAACTAAACAAACGAAACGAAACGAAATAAAGATAGTCGATATTTCGAACAATCAACCAACCAACCAAACAAAAAACCGATGTGCGTGATGATTATAAGAGTTGGGTTGAGGGGTTAGTCAGTCTGGTTATATGATTCGGTTTCGGTTGTTGTTCATGTTGGCCAAAGCCATTTGAAGAAAAAAAAATTGTTGTTGAAATAAAAAAAAAGATGACAACAACCAAACAAACGACGAAAACTAACTAAACTAAACTAACGAGAGATCGTCGTCGTCGTCGTCGCGGTGCAGCGAACTATGTTCACTGTATGTTCGGTGTGTGTGTGTGTATGTGTGGATAATGTGAGTGGGCAAAACACCAATAGAGAAAAACGAACGAAAAAAAAAGACTTCTTTTTTTGTTTCATTAGAAAGATGAGAACCGACTCTCGCGATTGAGTTTGAGTGTTGTTGTTGTTGTGTGAATGAATTGAGAGCTAAATAGCGAGAGAAAGATTGAAAAAAAAACATCGGGACATCGGTTTGTTGAGAATTTGCTGACGGAATTACGTATTTTATAAAAATAATAATAATATGCACACACGAAACACACATATATTAGTCGTCGTCTTCTTCTTGAAACATGGTATAAGCACCATATACAAAACAATAATACCCAAAAAAAAGGAAAAAAAAGTTACGGGTAAGCGCGCGGCTACGGCAAAAAAAAAAGAATTTTTTCACACAATACACGAAAAAAAAGTGATTCTATAATTCAACTGCAGAAAATAGAGAGAGAGAATTACATAACACACATATTCTTCTTCTTCCTAACTTGATTCCTGGATTCTTTATTTATTTTATTGTTGTTGTTGTTCCTGATACAGAATATTGTCGGATCAAAGTGGCAAGAATATTCTGGCCTTTGCAATAAAAGTTAATTTTTTCCTGGTAAAAGATTCTGGTCGGATTGTAGAAAAAGTAGATTATTTTTGGGTTTTTCGTACAGAAAAACCACATTCACACATACAAATCTCTTGTTTGGTTTTTGTCCGAAAAAAAAAAAAAAAATACAGAGATGTCAAATGGATATCCGGACTATAACCAACCGGAATAATTTACATTATGTGTTTGGTTACAACAAACAAACAAACAATTTGTTATTGAAACCTGATAATGTCGTCGGAAACAACGGTTAATATAACACCGAAAAACCAAAAAACAAAACAATGCGAATCAAAAATTGAAATTAATTATTACACGAATACAAGCAAATGAATGATAATGAATTTATCAACAAAAACAACAACAACAAAAATCGAATGACTCGAACTTACCCTTATCAGATGCAGATCATTTTTTGATGATGATAGCGGTGGTGGTTTACATAAAATGTTTCACAACAAAAATGATGATCAAGAAATCGAAAAAATTTATCGTATTTTTTTTTGGAGTGGACGACACAATGATAATGATAATGATGATGATAATGAACAAAGTGTCAAAAGAAAAGAAAAATTATATAATTATCAAGGACTTTTCTGTTTTCCAAGCGAAAACAATCAAACAACAAAGAGAGATCAAGTGACAATTGATGATGATGATGATGAGTTTTCTGGATCAAAACACCACTAAATAGAATAGATAAAGATAATGTTGCTTTTTGGCGTAATAAAGATTTTTTTTTTGTTGGGCGACCACCAAAACGCCAATCAAATTAAAGCCGAAATCAAAACTTGAGAACGAACGCGAAACGAAACGAAACGAATCGAACGCGAATGATCAAAATCGAATGATTAAAATCGAACGTCCGACCTCCAGACAGACAGACAGACGAAAGACGAAAGACGAGAAAAGAGCAGTAGGGATTTTTATTCCATTTTCGCTCGCGCCATTTAGATGATAATCAAGACGACGATGATAACGATGTTGCAAATATTTTTTGATGATGATAATGATGATAATATTGGCAATATGGGAGAATCTTTGACAGGCGAGTGCGACTTGTTTTTTCGGTGAAACTTTTTCGCCGATTGTCATCGTCGTCGGTTCGGGATTTCGTTTTTCGTTTTTCGTTTTTCGTTTTTTGCACTTCAACGCTTTCAACCCAAAAAAATTCGATACAAATCTCGATCGGATCGCGTTCTGGATCAAATGTGATGATGATGGCGACGGCGACTGTTGGAAGATCAAATCATCATAATCGTTCGGCGTTCTGGAGTGTTCAGCCCGAAATTAAAAATGAATTCGGGAAATAAAGAAGAAGTTTGAAGAGTTTTACGGCTATTTTACACACAAAAAAACCAGACATACAAAAATGAATGTAGAAAAATTTCTATCAGTTTGAGAGTATCCCCCATTCATATCATCATCACATTTATATATATGGGCAAAACAGAAGCAAAATAAAAAAAGGATCCCTTTTTTTTTCTCACTTTTTTGGCCATTTCTTCTTCTGTTGTATGTACATTATATGCATAAAATGAATGACAACAGCAGCAGCAGCAGCTGCTGCTTCTTTGGCCATGGTTATCGGCAGCCCGATATATACAAGTTTTATAATACAGTATATCAATCGGGTCGGATCTTTGTTAACACATCACATACCATAATATATACTATTGTATACAACACACATGTATTGAGTATATAAGCCTATTTTTTTTGCCGACGACGACCTATTCAATGTTGAAAACCACTACAACAACAATCAATTGTGAAAAGAATTTTCTGCGAATTTTGAATGGATCATTATCATCACCATCATCATCAACATCAATATCGTTCGAAATGTTTCGAGGCAATAGGGTCGATACCATGTTGATCAAATTGATGCAGGTAGTGACTGATTGAAGATATTAGATTGATGAATTGTGAACGATATAATTGTCTATTGGTTGCCGCAAAAAAAATGAAAATCTTTTTCACATTTGGTTGGTTGGTGGGTATATAATGGCTATTCACTTCTATTCACCCAGTTCACAAAACCGACCAAACCAATTTGCCTTTCGGAAATTTTTCTTTCTTTTTCTTTTTCGTCGTTGTTGTTGATGGGCACGGTGAATCGTTTCGTTCATGAAGTTTTTTTTTTTGTAGAAAAAAAAATCAAACGAAACAACGATAAAATCGAACGATCGTTCGTAAGTCTGTCCATCCACAAATAATGCAAAAAAAAAATCGAACGTTCTCCCGATTCGTTCGAATTGATTTTTTTTTTGTTTTGTTTTTTGTTTCGTTTGATCGCGATCCACACCATTCTCGAAAAACCCGAAACAAATTATCCGGGTATTAATTGATATAGGTGTTCTTGTGGAAAAAAAGTTTATGCGTAATTATGTAAAAGAAACATTTCGTTATTTGAAACTTGTCTGACCATTGAAAAAATTCACATCGAAAAAATTCTTCAATTCGTTTTGCATCAAAATCGAAAAATTTTTATTTTATTTCATTTTTAAAAGAACTGTTATTGCCATCTAGTGTCGAAATTTAAAATTATGTTAAAATGAATTCAAAAATTGTTATTATTATTATTGAGGGTTAGTTTTGACAAGTTTTTTTTCAATCACATTAAAAACAAATATTAAATTACAATTACAATTACAATAACATTCATTCATTTGGAAGCATTTTATATTATTCATTGAGCAACAACGCAAAAAAAATGGATGGAAAAAGAATTTCAAATCAGGATCTCTTATTTCATTTCATAATCGTTTACGGTAAACATTATATTCAGCTTGATTCAATTGATAACGACAAAGTGGACAACGATAATTAATTTTTGCATCAAATTCAAACCATTGTGATAAACATTGTTGATGAAATAAATGTTGACATGGTAATTGTTCTAATGGTGATTGTAATAATTCTGAACAAATTATACATATATCTGATGGTTTTGGTGGTATTTTTGTTGTTGATGAGTTGCCTTGATTGGATTTTTTATTTTGATTATAATTATTATGGCTGCCATGTGGATTTTCTTGTTGATTATTATTATCCCAATAATAATAACAATAAATTAATATTCCGGTTACAATTCCGAATGCTGTTGTATAAAAACCAAGTGCCATTGTATTGAAAATTTGAACCAAAAAATATGTGGTAAAAACTTGAAAATTTAAGAAATTTCGATTATTCAAAAGAGAATTTGATAATTCATTTTCGACATTTTCCAAAACCAAAAAAAAATGTCGAGAAAAATTGATTGCGTCTTTGGATTGTTTTTGTTTTTTTTGTTTACAATCAAATCAAATGGAATATTCATAAACGACGTGCGAAATATTTCCTGGAAACTTTTTTCGAGCTAAAGCCGCTCTGTGTTTATATAGTGCGCTTAAACATCGTCTTTTGGTCAAGCAATAGACACACAATACACACACATTTTTAGCCTGACAGTAAGCTATTTTTACACAACAACGACGCCGCCACCACCATCATCATCATCACTGCCGATAAACACACTTTTTTTTTGTCCGTGTGGCAAATTCTTTGCATGCAATTTTTTGTGTATGATGTGTGTGGTGGTATGCACGCATTTTATCTCGCGTTGTCTCGTGTGTTTATTTCCCAAAATCTTTTTTCTTTTCTTTTTAATTTAATGTCCAAGGATCCAAATATTCCGGAATTTTATTTGTTGTTGATTTAAATTTCATAAAAAATAAACTGAACAAAATCATCATCATCATCATCATTGTTTCAAAGTCAAATCAAACTCGAATAATCAATATAGGCAATCGATTGCTATTCAATTAATAAATTATCGTGATCAAAAATCGTTGCTAAAAAAACAGACAAACAAACAATTTAAAAAATGTCGGTCGATGAAGCTAGTGCCGATCGTAATGTACAAATATGGAAAGTAAAAAAATTGATAAAAAGTCTTGAAGCAGCCAGAGGGTAAGGGTGAATGAATTTTGATTGAAATTTTAATTTTTTAAAATCCGTTTTTTTTTCTTTTGTTTTGTTTGTTTTCACCCAGGAATGGAACATCAATGATATCGTTAATTATTCCACCAAAAGATCAAATATCACGTGTATCAAAAATGTTGGCCGATGAATTTGGTACAGCATCCAATATTAAAAGTCGAGTAAATCGTTTATCCGTACTTGGAGCTATAACATCCGTACAACAACGTTTAAAACTTTATACAAAAGTTCCACCAAATGGTTTAGTAATTTATTGCGGTACGATTGTAACCGATGAAGGCAAAGAAAAAAAAGTGAATATCGATTTTGAACCATTCAAACCGATCAATACATCGCTATATCTTTGTGATAATAAATTCCATACTGAAGCATTATCAGCCTTACTTGCCGATGATAATAAATTCGGTTTTATTGTTATGGATGGTAATGGTGCATTGTTCGGTACATTGCAAGGAAATACGCGTGAAGTTTTACATAAATTTCCTGTCGATTTGCCTAAAAAACATGGTAAAATCCGTTTTTTATGATTCTAAACAAAACACACGAGATTTACCTAATTTATTTCAATTCAATTTAAAATCTATAGGTCGTGGTGGTCAATCAGCGCTTCGTTTTGCTCGTCTTCGAATGGAAAAACGTCATAATTATGTACGTAAAGTAGCCGAAGTTGCAACACAATTATTCATAACAAATGATAAACCGAATATTTCTGGACTTATATTGGCCGGTTCAGCCGATTTTAAAACCGAGCTTGCTCAATCTGATATGTTTGATCCGGTAATTATTCCTTATTTTTTTCCGTTCTGTTTTATTTATTGCTAAAATATTTTTCCCAAATGTTATTATAGAGATTGCAAGCAAAAATTTTAAAATTAGTTGATGTTTCTTATGGTGGTGAAAATGGTTTCAATCAGGCAATCGAATTATCAACAGAAATTCTGACCAATGTTAAATTTATTCAGGAGAAAAAACTTATCAGTAAATATGATTCATATGTTTAACTTTATTAATTTAATAATTACTTTTAATTTTCTAACTTTAAAGGTAAATATTTTGAAGAAATCTATCAAGATACGGGAAAATATTGTTTCGGTGTTGTTGATACATTGAAAGCATTGGAAATGGGTGCCGTTGAAATATTGATTTGTTGGGAAAATTTAAACATAACACGTTATCAATTGAAAAATCCACAAACTAGCGAGGAAAAAATTCTACATTTAACACCGGAACAGGAAAAAGATAAATCACATTTTACTGACAATCAAACTGGTGTTGAATTGGAATTAATTGAATCTGTACCATTATTAGAATGGTTAGCAAATAATTATAAAAATTTTGGGGCCACATTAGAAATTGTTACCGATCGTTCACAAGAAGGATCACAATTTGTTAAAGGTTTTGGTGGTATTGGTGGTTTATTACGTTATCGTGTTGATATGAATTCGATTGAAGGTGATCAAGATGATGATGTTGATAATGTTGATGATTTTGATGAATTTGATGGTCTTTAAAAAAATGTTTGTTTGTTTTTTTTTTATAAAAAAAAGCTAATTAGGTTATATTTATATTAGAGAGTGTTTTTTTCTTCTCTTCTCTTCTCTACATGAAATTTTGGCGCTTTATTTGAAAATAAATGAAATTTTTTTTACCTAAAACTGAATTTTTATTTGGGAATTTTTTTGAAATTCATATTCTTCAAAGAGAAAAAAAATTGCTGAATTTATACATAACATGTTGTTCGTATTGTCAATGGACATTGTGTAAACAAAACATCTCGATCCATCATCTGATCACCGTATCATCATTTTTTTTGTTTTGTTTGTTTTGAGTAAATGACAATTTTTTTGTTTGTTTCTTTAGGTTATCTCATTTTATAAATAAATAAATAAACAACATTTGAAAGAGGAAAAAAAATGTCTCGTACGAATAAAGTATCTTGTCCATCACATCCAGATGCAGCATTGATTGAAGATTATCGTGCAGGTGATTTAGTTTGTCCAGAATGTGGACTAGTTGTTGGTGATCGTGTTGTTGATGTTGGATCAGAATGGCGTACATTTAGTAATGATAAAGCAACATCGGATCCATCACGTGTTGGTGCAGCGGAAAATCCATTATTGGAAGGTTCAGATCTGACAACAATGATTGGCCGTAGTAGTTCGAATGCTGCATTCGATGAAAGTGGTCAACCAAAATATTTTAATCGTAAACAGATGAGCAGTTCAGATCGTGCATTAGTAAATACATTCAAAGAAATTAGTAGCATGTCCGATAAAATTAATCTTACTAAAACAATTGTTGATCGTGCTAATCTATTATTCAAACAAGTACATGATGGCCGTACATTAAAAGGACGAAGTAATGAAGCTATTGCATCGGCTTGTCTTTATATTGCCTGTCGCCAAGAAGGTGTACCACGAACATTCAAAGAAATTTGTGCTGTTTCAAATGTTTCAAAAAAAGAGATTGGCCGTTGTTTTAAACTTATATTGAAAGCATTAGAAACTTCTGTTGATCTCATTACTACGGGAGATTTTATGTCAAGATTTTGTTCGAACCTAGGGTTATCGAATGCTGTACAACGTGCGGCAACATATATCGCACGAAAAGCAGTCGAATTGGATATGGTACCTGGTCGTAGTCCAATATCGGTTGCAGCTGCTGCTATTTATATGGCATCACAAGCATCGGCTGATAAAAAATCACAAAAAGAAATTGGTGATATTGCCGGTGTTGCCGATGTTACCATACGACAATCATATAAATTAATGATTAAAGATGCTGCAAAACTTTTTCCACCGGATTTTAAATTTGTTACACCTATTGATCAATTACCACAAATGTGATTTTTTCTTTTCCTTGAAACAAAACAAAACAAACAAAAAGGCATATTCATTTACATAAACAAATTACATTCAATCATCAATTCATTCATTTTACTCAAACTACACTTTCATCGATTTTTTTTCTTTTTTTGGATATTTCTTTAAAAACACAAAACAAATATAACTTTGTATAAAAAAAATAAACAACCGAATCAGGAAAACAAAATGAAAGAAATAAATTTTTTTTCTCAATCATTGTTTTTTTGGTTTCAGCTATTTTTCTCCTTGACAATTCCTTTATCGACAAGATCGGGTATTTCAACAGCAAGCCATGGACCTAACTGAAATTGAAATTATTTTAGGGTGAAAAAGATATGAATGAATGAATGAATGGAATAACATACACCAAGTGCCATTGCATGAGCAATACCAAATTTGCCAACATTTCTTGCCCAAAGTGGTTTAAAATGATCGCTTGTACAGATTTTTCCACCACGATACATTTTGGCTGTTTTTCCATCCAATTCGGGTAATGCAATTTCCGGTGATGTTGTTGGATATGTTACGGGAATCTATGTAATGGAAAATAAATCATGTAAAAATAAAATCAATCATCAATTGTAACACTTACGTCAAATTCAATATCAAATTCATATTTGATCAATTTATAAATATACCAACATTTTCCAAACCATTTTGTTCCATCGGAATTGGATTCCAAACGAAACCAATCATTATCATTTTCTTTATTCTTTTTAACATACTATATATTTAATGAATTGAAATGATTAATGATTCTTTCTTCAGCAAAAAAACAAAAAATCATCAACAACAAACCTCTATTAATGCTTGTAATTCTTCTTTTAATCTTTGTGGCCATAATTCTTTATCACGTGGTCCTGCTTTTGTTTTAAGTAATGGAATTTGTCCCAATGATTTACGTGTTGCAGCATCTACCATGATTCAAAATATATTTTATCGATGATCGATGTTATTGATCTTAATGGGTCATTTATATTTTAAGGAAATCAAAAAACAGAAAAAACAAAAAAATTTTTTGCTGTCGTCATCGAGAAATTTCCCCAGAAATGTTATTCGAACGAAAGCAAAAAAAGCTTCGTCACACCTTATCGAATAATAAAGCGCGCATGTTTGAGAGCACCAAAAAGAAAAAGCAAAACAGACGTGTTTTGCTTTCAACCAAATGTATCATTAATGTTTGTAATTACCAAAAATTCACATGTTTTTTTTCTTGTGATTCTTTTTTCAAAAGAAATTCGTTAAATTAACAAACGAAAAAACAAAATCCATCCCTAAAACAAATGACTGTCAAAACAATGTCCAAAAATAATGATGATCATGATGATGATAAATTATCTCATGATGAAAAAATTGATGAAAATAATTCGAATGCAATGAATGGTTTGGTTAGGAAAAGGTATGATGGTTTTTGTCATTTCTTTTCCTTCAATTTCCAATTTCTAACCAAATTTTTTTTTCTTTTCGAAAAAATAAAAGACGTCCTGGTATCATTGAGCTTGGTGATGTTACACCACATAACATAAAATTATTACGCCGTTTAAATCAGGTCATTTTTCCGGTCAGCTATAATGCCAAATTCTATAAAGATGTTTTAGAATCCGGTCCATTAGCCAAATTAGGTATATTGATTTGTTTGTTTTTCAATCGATGATTCTAATGAAATAATGATGTTTTGTGTTTTTTTTCTGCATGTTTTAGCATACTATAATGATATTATGGTTGGTGCTGTTTGTTGCCGTGTTGATACATCCGAACCTAATACTCGACGTCTGTATATAATGACATTAGGATGTTTAGCATCATATCGACGACTTGGTATTGGTACTAAAATGGTTGAACATATTCTTGATTATGTTTCACAAAAAGATTCAAATTTTGATAGCATTTTTTTGCATGTCCAAATCAACAATGAAGATGCTATTGAATTTTATCAAAAATTTGGTTTCGAAATTATTGAAACTAGGAAAAATTATTACAAACGTATCGAACCACCAGATGCACATGTATTATCGAAAAATTTAAAAAAATAAATTGATACTTTTGCTTTCTTTCTTTTTGCCCGAAATTAATTTCATTTGAAAAATTAATAAATTTTTAATCATTTTTTTAAAATATCAAATGTTATCATTTACAAATTTGATTGTTGGATAATGGTTGGTTACATGATGAACAAGTATTGTTGTTGGATGATTGTAAACATTTTTCATGCCAACAAATATTACATTTTGTACATTTTGAGCCATAAAAACAAACAAGGCCACAATGTTTACAAGCAGATAGATTATATTTACGTATTAGATAGCCACTTTTTTGTGTTAATGTTCGAACACCTAATGTTATTTTACTACCTCGATCAATTTTCTTAAACCAATATTGATTGATCCAATTTTTAAGAATTTTCTCACCCAAAATGATTGTTATATTTGTATTTCGTGCCACATTGTTTGCCGATGTCATTCCAATTGCTAAATGTTCATTCAAATTGAAACCATCATTATCATCGTTGTCATCGATTTGCAAAAATGATTTGACAATTGCATCAACCAACAGATAGTAAAATGAATTTTCATTTCGTGTCCACATTGATTTGGCAGTTAAAGCATCTTCAGTTTCATTGATCAATGTATAGAATGTTTCATCGGATGATTTACAGAAAACTTTTTTAATAGCAAATCCATATGAACGTAATGTTTGATTTGCATTTATAATAGCTAATTCTCTATCAATACGATCATTTTGTTCATTATGTTGAAGTTTTTCTTTGATTCCTTTAAAACAATTAATCCCGATTAAAAATGAAACAAATGAATTCTGCCGTTTTGGAATTACTTACGATTGAGCCAACAATCTAATTGAGCTGTAGAAACACATTGATTTTTAAGAAAAAATTGTTTCAATAATTGTTGAAAATCGAAATATTGTCGAATGTTGTTTTCAGTCATTTTCAATTCTTTCATCATATCACACAGACAAAAAACACAATGTTGAGGATCTTGACAATTTTTTTGCCCAAATTCGAATGTCTGTACATACCGTAAATAACTCATCTAGGTTCATTGATGTTGAAATAGTGTTCGAAATACATGACTCATATATATACAGAATTAACAACCAAAGAATGTAAACAGAATCGACTAATTCTTAAGGAGATTCTAAGTCAAAAAAAGCGATTCCGAAGAAAAAATGAGCAATCAAAATCAACGAAATAATAAAGGTAGTTCATCATCTTTATTATTTGTACTTGGTGCGGCGATCGGTGCTGCAGGTGCATTTCTTATTCCGAAATTATTCTCCGAAAACAATGAAGAATCAAGTCATCGATATTCAAATCGTGGAAATTGTAGCACTTCATCATCATCAACTGGATCGATTCCAATAAAACCAGCCGAAATGTGTGTCATTTGTCAAGATAAAATGGAACCACCAATGGAACAATTACCATGTGGACATATTTTTCATCAAAATTGTATTATACAATCATTGAAAAGTAATAATTTTTGTCCAATTTGTCGAATATTTCTTTCACAATCACAAATGAAAGTTTATTTGGATCGTATCAATGAATAATATCAATGTTATTGTCACCTGTATTGTTACACAACTATTAATATGAGATTACATTTTTGTTTTGTTTTTTGACTTTTCAATAAAGAATTTAAAAAAACTTTATCAATGATCACAATTCTGGATAATTATTTAGAAATTCTTGTAAAACAATAACCAAAATTGGATATTCAACAATAATTTTATCTTCTAAATTTCTTTTCAATGTCCATTCATTTTGCAGACGATAATAATAACGTCCGGATTTATGTTTTAATAATATTTGATATTGTTGTTGGCCTTGTTGTTGATATGGTGAAAAATCAAATTCTTCAATTTGATTCAAATCACTGTTATCATTATCATCATTGTTGTTGATTATGGTGGTTGGCTGTTCAATAATATCTTTTACTATATCAATCAAACGACTATTTTCGGAAATTCTATTCCGTTTGAAACAAAGCGGTCGATAATTTTGTTCGTTTGGTTCAATTTTCAAACGACAATTCGGAAAAATAAAATCAATATCCCAATAGATAGTTTTTTCCTTGTATAAATAGATAGATCTATTTGAACGTGAACGTTTAAATGCAATGGGCATTTTTTCATATTGAATTCGTCGTTTTTGACATTCTTGTGCAAAACGTATTACCCACTATAGAAATATTGAAAATTATGAAATATGAGTAAAAAATTTTGTTCAAATTTCATACCGTAGATAAATCTCTTTTTGGATTATTCTCTACAATACGATTCAAATTTTGTATATATTCGGATCCTTTTTCGATAAAGCTAAAATCTGTTCCAATGAAAACATTAATTAAGATAAGAATCATAAAGGAAAAAGAAATTCACCTGAATTCAGATGACTTTCGTTATAATGTTTTAATGGAACAAATGAAAGTTGATCACGAATTGCCGAACATCCAGTAGTTTCTTTATGTTTTTTTGAACATTTTACCGAACAAGTTTTGATTGAACATCGTGGACAAACATATTTATGTACACTAATCTGACAGATGGAACAATTTTTTCGTTTTTTTCTTTCTTGTTTTGTGTTTATTTCTTCGACAAAACGATTAACCAATGATTCGTGATTTGGTTTATCGATAATATCACATAATTCTTCATTATTTTCAATGATTGAATTTGATTCTTTCTCATCAGAATCATTTCCAAAAAGACCAAAAAATTTATTTTCCATTTTTTTCCAAAACGAAAAAAATTGCACATGTCTTGGCGAGAAAACTTTTCGAAAATTGAGTTGAAAAAAATCATATGAAAAAAAAAATTTTCTCGGAAATCTATTTTCGAAGAATTTCGAATTTTTTTTTCTTCGATTGATGATGATTATTGTAAAACATTTGCCATCACGAATTTTTAATGATAATCAACAATTCGATTGAAAAAATAAAATTCTTTTGTCCATTGTTTCAACAACAATATCATCATCATCATCGTAATAAGGATAATCACGATCCTAAAAAAAATAAAACCTACGTATAATGGTTGCCAACCAACCAACCAACCCTTCTTCTTCTTCTTTTCATTATTTACAATGGATTTTAAAAAGTTCAACAACTTTTATTTTTGTCTGTCCATCAGAATTGGCAATTGATGGTGGTGGATCAAACCATGATGATTGCCATTGTTGGCCGTCAGCAAAAAAACAAAAACCAGATATTAATAATGATGATGATTGTACGCCCAGACGTCTTCAAACTGGTGGATTCTTCATTCTTTGTAATGTCAGAAGAAGAAAAAGGGCTAAAATATGAAATAATTTTTGGTTATGATGATGATCATCATCATTTTCACTTTTGGTTGTTCATATTTCATCAATTGAATTCAAAGAGTAAGCAGAAATATTTCAAACATACATTTCATTGGAAAAAAAAACCTGATATTTTCAAGGCAAACTTATTGTTTTGTTTTGTTGTTGAAATGTTTGCTATAGCCAGCAAGATACACACAGCAACAACAACATTGATTCGGTTTTGTTGGCTACATGGTCATTAACAATTCTGGTTTTTTTTGAAAAAAAAATCTTTCAAGTTGGCTGACCATGACGATAATTTCGTTCATGAAGAAGAAAAACAACGATCTTTTGATGATGATAATGTCCATCACCTTTTTTTTAAAAAACAAAAATATTCAACAAATGTTACAATGTTATACAAAATCATTAATTCTTGTTGCAAATTTCATAATCATTCTTTTTTTCTTTTTTTGTCCAGAACAATTCAGCTCATCCTGGCCATTTTTTTCGTTTCGCTCAACATTCGATGGAATCCAGACACACACAGACATTCTGAATATATTTGGGAATAATTTTTGATTCTCGGTACAGGCAGACATTTCAAATTCTCGCTTCTCTCATCACAATGATCATTGTGTTTTTGGTGGCCAATTCAAGGACATTTTCTATCTTTCTTTCTTTTTTGGCTTATTGAATCAAACAAACGAAAAAAAGAAAAGAAAAAAGTCTGGATAATTTCATTGTTGTTATATAATTGTATGTGTGTGGAATCCATTGATATCATGATTGACATTGATGAATGAATGAATGAATTGGTCAATCGATATTGGCTTCTTCTTTCTCGGAAGAATTTTTGTTACATCAATAGCGTAGACAGCAGCAGCAATATTTTGACCTTCAATTTTTTTTTCTTTCACCATCAATGTCAATGATGATGATAATGATCATCATCATTTTTTTCTGAATTTCAAATTGGAAGAAAAAAAAAGGTCAACCACCACCACCATCACTGCAGAATAACACTTTCACTTTGCATTAAATATTTTTTCTGATTTTTCGTTTTTGGCTGGCCAACCCGAATCAAAATTGAAAGACAGAAATGAAAACAAACCCCTTTTGCACTAATATGATGATGATGATTAGTGTAATGAACCTGTTTTTTCATTTCGTAATTTCAAATTTTGTTGTTATAAATCTAATACTGGATACATATCAATCATTCTGTCAAAAAAAAAATAATGATTGCTATTGGCGATATTGAAATCGAAAAAAGACTCAACAAGTTTGTCGATTTTGTTGTTATTCGGGGTTGTTTCTGGTTACTATCTTGCTCGTTTGGCTATCGTAATGAAGAATGATTACGAAAACAAAACAAAACGAAAATTGTTATTCCAAATTATCTTCACTATCGCCAATATTATCAACCAAAATAAAAATAAAAATAAAAAACCTTTTAATTTTCGAAAAACGCAATAATTTTCCAGACAAGAATTTTTGTTATTTGGACACGCAATGTTTTTTTTTGTAATGTAAAACAAGAATATTCCGAAAAAAAAACTTCCCATTAACCATTGCATTTCAAATGTTTTTTATTCCGGTACAATTCATGGTGCAATATTTTGCAATTTCAAGTTTGCAAGTTTCAATGAAGAACATTTGCCACCAAATGAACAAAAAAAACAAAATGATCAAGTACGATTACATTGTATTGCATCATATCATATTATTCTATAGACAATAATATTTTTCGAACAATAGAATCCAGAAAAACTAACAAAAAAAAATGGTGATTACCATCATTTTATTGGTGGTGAATTTCAGCCAATAACTGCGTATTATTTTCGAAAAAAACACCAGCCAACCAACCAACCAGCCTTCTTTTTTTGATGTGTAGTTTGAATCGAAGAAAACATTCATTCGCTAGAATTCATGGTAGTTGTTGGTTTTGTCACATTTTGGGGTGTAATAGAAACGCCAACGCGCCATTTATATATACAAATGAATGAATGGTAAGCGAGAGAGTGAAAGACGCCATGATTATTATATAATTTTAGGCGTCACTATCTGGTTTTTGTTTTGCTTTGGAAGTGGTGTTTTTGCTTTGCTTTGCGACACACAGCAAGCAAACGAACAAACCAACCAACCATCGATTCTTGATGAATATCATTCAACTTTGCGAATCGAATATATAATTTTTTGCTTGTGGTTGTTACACAACAGCAGCAGTTTGAATAGCGACCATGATTGAAATGATTTCTTTCGTCTTATGCTTCTGCCATTCGCTGATTATCATATAGGATGATGATATGATGATGTTGTTGGTTGGTGGTAAGCCTTTCGCTTACATCAATGGTATATAGACAGAGGGAGAGAGAGAATGGCCATTTAATATTTATGAAAGTGTTGTCCACGAACATCAATGGATACAACCAACCAGTCAACCAACCACTATCATTTTGATTATCATCATACAACAACAACAACAACAACCGAAGATAGAAAAGACCAAAGTTGATATTGTTGATGTTGATGATGGTGGTGAATTTCAAATTCGTTCGTCGCAAATTTCATATGTATATTGCCATTGTTGTTGTGGTGGTGGTATTCGCTATATTCTATAGTACGAATACCCGGCGCCTTCAGAATAAGCTTTCTTTCCTTTTATCATTCACCATTCATTCATTCGTTGTTATTCTGGCGTCCATTCTTGTCTCTAGCCACCACGATGGCTGCTTTTCTTTCCTTTGTTGTTGTTGTTATTGTTGTTGTTGTTGTTGTGAATCAAACACGCACTCTATTTTTTTTCCATCAAAGATTCTACCATCTTTTGACGCATTATTATTATTTGAATATTATTCATCATTTTTTTTTATAACAAAATAATCATTATCATTCGATTCACCAGAATGTATATCATCTGTTTCGATAATATTTATGTGATGACATTATTGGAAAAATTCTTTGAAATCAATTTTAAAGAATCGACTGAATAGCCAACCAAAAACAACCGAATAGCCAAATAGCCAAATAGGCTTGCCAAGCATCCAATGTTTTTTCTTTTCTCTCAATGTTTTTCAATGATCATCGATTTTTTTTTTGCTTGTTTTGTTTATATCAAACATCATCAATCGAAATCATCATCATCATCTGAATATTGATTATGATTATCCACAACTGAAAAAAAACCAAAAATATCAATGTTGTCATTCGAAAAAAGCTGTTGCTGTTCTTTGTTTTTGTTCAAAAAAAAGTTTCAGAACAAAAAAAAATTTGAGTACCTAGATTCGACAAATGTCAACTGATTGATTACCGTAATGATGATTGACATCCTAAGAGAATATCATCAAAATAACTAGCAACAGATTTGGATCATCTTTCTTTCCCCCACCAAATAAAAAACAAAATCATTCAACTGTCATCCTCAAATAATCATCCCCATTAATAATAACAAATAGGGTAAGTGTTTTGTTTTTTTTTTGTTTGTGATTTTATTATCATTAGATTTTTTTTTTTACCAAAAATTACCAAAACAACAACAACAACAACATAACAATCAACATCATCACCATGACAATCCAATTCAATTTTTGGTTTGGTTTTTTGTTTTTTTCTGTTCTTAAAATACCAATTCTTCAGGTCACTTGTTAGCAGATTTATTTTTTTTCGTTTTGTTTTGCGACAAAATATACAGGATTTCATATGATTTTCATTCGGTGTTTGATTGGACCCAAACCTTCAATCATAATCATCATCATCATTTGGTTAGTAACGAATGTTTCTCTCTCTTTGTTGTCATTTGAATTGACGTCACATTTTTTTTTTCTACTGCTGCTGCTGCTGTTTGTTGTTGTTGTTGTCATTATTTCTGCTGCTTGTAACGCAAGATATTTTGTTTTTGTTGTTATTGCTCATTCGTTTTTCAATATATTAAAACGACAGACCGGTCGCATTTTCTCTCACTCTCCCCTACTGGTGGTGGACCACCACCGGTTTAGGATGGTTTAGTATAGTCGCATCTTCTCTTGTTGGCTAATAATGAATTACTTGCGCCCTTTTCAATGTTTTTTTCTTATTTCATTGAAAATGAATGGGAAGAGGGTTTTCAACTACATCTACCCATATGGTCCCAATATATAATCATTTGTTGTTGAAAAGATTCCTCTGAAATACCCCTGCTTCCAAAATAAAAACACATGTACATTCGATTCAGAGCTTAAATGATGATCCGCAGACGCAGCAAAGAAAAAAAGTGTAGATGTGAAAAAGTTCTTCGGGAGTAAAATAAAGACGCTCCCACACACATACACATACACCAAACGGTGATTATTGCTGTTGTATTATGTATTGATGTGGCGGCATCCAAAAAAAAACCTTCTTTTTTTCGTTTGCTGGGTTAGATAATCAAATGGCGTCTGTGATGATGATGATGGTGATAACACTTTTTTTTCTTAATT